AGGTGGGACACTACGTCACCGAGGTGGGACACTAGGCCGCTATCACACGTGGGCTCCCCATGGCGCTCATCCGGCCGCTCACCATCGCGCGCTTCGTGGACATCGCGGGCGCGCTGCTGGCCGCCGTCACCCGCGACGCCAAGCTCAACAACGAAAACTACGTCGCCAAGGTGGGCCCTAGTCACTACGTCACCGAGGCGGGACACTGCGTCACCGAGGTGGGACACTACGTCACTGAGGTGGGACACTAGGCCGCTATCACACGTGGGCTCCCCATGGCGCTCATCCGGCCACTCACCATCGCGCGTTTCGTCGACATTGCGGGCGCGCTGCTGGCCGCCGTCACCCGCGACGCCAAGCTCAACAACGACAACTACGTCGCCAAGGTGGGACACTACGTCACTCAAGTGAGACACTACGTCATTGAGGTGGGACACTACGTCACCGAGGTGGGACACTACGTCACCGAGGTGGGACACTACGTCACCGAGGTGGGACACTACGTCATTGAGGTGGGACACTACGTCACCGAGGTGGGACGCTACGTCACCAAGATGGGACACATGGACCGTTTGGCAGGCCCCCACTGGGCATTATAAGCACGTGCACAGGGCCCCACTATCGAGGGGGACACCTCTCTGACTGGGCGGGTCAGGACTGCAGCTCTTCTTAAAATGTTAAACAGCAACCTCTGACTAAAGCCTACAACTGGTACATTATTATACAGTCAGAGGTTGCTGAAAATTTTTACAGCTCTTTTTACAAACATGTTGACAGTCGCGCGACTACATGGGCGATGGCTTCAATAAAGACATAATATTATGATGATCATAATAAATCATTGTCATTTTATAACTTACTAAATTGTTCACCAGCTGCCGCACTTGTCCAAGCGACTTCTGTACCCTGGAACAGTGTCCAAGTCCTGGCTGAAGACCGTCAACACCCTGCACGCGTTCCCACACGCGCTCGCTCTCATAGCATACCTGTTGGATCTGGTCAATTACATTGTAAGTAACTCGAGCTCTGTATAAGATTTCTAACTTTACATTTAAAACTCAGAGCAATGGGCTCAAATAGGATACTACTGGAGCAACACAGCCTAAATGTTAAGCCAGGGGTTCCCTAAGTGTAAGCTAGGGAATCCCAAGGGCGTCGTGAGGCAATCGTAAATAAATGTACAGAAAGACGTGATAATGTCCAAACTTGAGCCCCGTTTTAAGAAACTATGCTCAGAAAAGCAAGCACATCCTTCTCATTAGAAGTTAGTAAACATAGTTAAATATCTCTTGTAATTTTCATTCTTGTTGTTTTGTTATATTGTTCTTATTTTCTATCAACAGTGTGTCTCTTACAAAAGTCTCTAAGGGTAAAAAAAGTTTGGGAAGCCCTACCTAAAGCTATAAGTACACATAATAAATGTGGTGTTTCATTCCACTTCCTACCTGAGGTGGAATAGTGTAAAGCAATCGTAATCATTTGAAAGTTCATCACGTACGATAAAGTCAGTTAAACAAAGCGTTTGACAGAATAATCGTACGTTATGAACTGTCAAATGATTACGATTGCTTTACACAATTCTACCTCAGTTCTGTAATCATGTTTGATAATTAATGAATAAAAATCCCCACTAATCTCTAACTTTTCTTTACAGGAAATGCCTGTGTCCGACGATTGGTTGTATGTAGGAAAAGACGAGTTGGCGTGTCTACGCCGTGATTACCTCTACAAATGTTGGATTAGGTAAGTTTTTTAATACCTACCTATGCAAAACAATGTTTTTGTAAATGAGTCCTTTTTTTGTAAATAAGTTCTTATTATAAAGAAATTAAGATTCCTATCAGCCTGTCTGTATAAAGTTTGTTATTTGTAGATTCCAAGACCCTGGGCATGAGTTTGAGGACTTGAATGAAGAATATCTGCAGAATTTGAAACTGTTGCTGGGCAATGATGAAGAGAAAATTATGGAACTACAACAACTCATAAAGAGTAAGCTATGTTATAAAATATGTTTATTTATGAAACTTATTTAAATATTGTACTAAACTAACACTTAAATTCCGTCCGATCAAAAATGTATGACGCGCCAGGCGTGTCATGTAATTGGTCCTCCTGGGTGGGATGACGCGCTAGGTGCGCCATTGGTTTTATTAATTTGTATGTAAGTTTAGAGAAAAGTGTTATTAAGTATGTTCATAATTTTCTAATCTGCCTTAATTTTAAATATTAATGTCCCCTTTTTTACAGCCTGTAGTTTTGCGCTAGGGCTCAGTGGTGTGCATTTGGGGATGCACATTTCCAGTATTTTCCACATATTTTATTACTATGTAGGTAGGCCCTTTCTAAAGCACTTATAATCTTATTCCCAGAATACGAAACCTGCCTCGAAGACGAAGCTGAAGCAGCCGCTAGAGCTGACGAAGCGAGACGGGTCGAGAGACGAGACGCGTTACTAAGCGGCCTCCGCGCAGAGAGGGCAGCTCGTCGCGCCGCCATCGCCGAGGCTTCTGCTCAAAGGGCGCTGCACACAGACCACACTGATGCCTTGAGGCAACTAGACGTGGAGATCGAACGAGCTACGTAAGTCATTTCTAACATAGGACTGAGGTGAGGCGTCGAGAGACGAGACGCGTTACTAAGCGGCCTCCGCGCATAGCCCATACTGATGCCTTGAGGCAACTAGACGTGGAAATCGAACGAGCCACGTAAGTCATTTCTAACATAGGGCTGAGGCGGGACGGATCGAGAGACGAGACGCGTTACTAAGCGGTCTCCGCGCAGAAAGGGCAGCTCGTCGCGCCGCCATCGCAAAAGCCGCGGCTCAGATAGGATTGCATACAGTTCATACTGATGCCTTGAGGCAGCTGGACGTGGAAATCGAACGCGAGGACCTAACACTATTGTGTTATAGGTTTCCAAATTCGATGGGGCAGCCAGATCCTTGATTGGAAATTTGTAAAATTACCTTAAAGAGGTGTCAGGGTTGTCTTTAACTGGAGGCCTGTGAATTTAAGGATCTGGATCACCTTTTTATATTTTTGAGAGCAGACAGCGGCATCATTCGCAGTGCTCTGGGCACATGGCCATTGGGGAAATTGGCCTGGTTGAAATGATTATTTATTTAAGGATAGTACACAGCACAATATCAATTTAGATTTCAATGTGTTTTAGTGAGTGGTAATAAATTTTCCAAACCGTTTGTTGCAATATAGCTCTTATCCCCAGGGCGGAGAGTCAGCAACTGAAGCGGGAGGTGGAGGAGCAGCCGCTGACGGTGGCGGAGCGCACGCGGCTGCTGGACGACGTGGACTACGCGCTGCGCGTGCAGGACTCCAAGCGCGCGCTCGCCATCCAGATCGACAAGGTAATGTGGGCTTTAAGGCGAGGACATTAGGCCCAGTACCCGTTGCATCTAGGCGCACCAGATCGACAAGGTAACGTGGGCTTTATGGCGAGGACATTAGGCCCAGTTCCCGCTGCAGCTGAGGCGGAGCGTGCAGGACTCCAAGCGCGCGCTCGCCATCCAGATCGACAAGGTAATGTGGACTTTATGGCGAGGACATTAGGTGCAGTACCCNAGGGTTCGAAAATATCCGATATCTATATATATAAAAGAAAGTCGTGTTAGTTACTTCGCTTATAACTCAAGAACGGCTGAACCGATTTAGCTGAAAATTGTCAGGGAGGTAGTTTAGAGCCAGGAGAAGGACATAGGATACTTTTTATCCCGTTCGAAATTAACCCTTATTCAAATAAAGGTAGATATATTACCACTTCGTTTACTTTTAAAAAAGGATCCTAATTTTCGATATGGTGATACTTAAAGATATCGTGGTCACTTATTTATATTTTTAAATATATTTTTTTACTTATCTATGCCATCTTACAACTTTTCAACGTCATTTGTCACTGTCAGGTAATGTCAAAGTCAACCGAACGGTTTTGGTGTGAAAAATTTCAAGTTTTTAGCGCGCGTTTACAGTATTTTTGAAACTTTGTTCAACGAAAATTCTGATAAGTGTTTTTTCGATTCAAAATCCTAAACTATAACATTTATTGTACAGTCTCACTTATAGGCAGCGTCTGCAATTGATTTATTTTATTTTATTTTATTTGTTTAACAATGTTTCAACAGCATTAAATTGTACATTTATTCATATAGTTTAGACATTTTAAAGAAGAGGTAAATAGTTTACCACTGTCCGATCCCGTCTTGACAAAAGTTTGATGATATATAAAAATAACTGTTGTTTTTTGTATACATGTGCACAAATAAAACTAAATAAATATTTGAAGAAATTTTAAGTTATTTTGATAACTGTTTACCTAACGTTTTGACATTACGTAATTAGTGAATTTATTGTTAGTTTCAGACTCAAGGTAAGCATAATAATTGTAAGCATAATGACCAATATTAATCAATATTATTTTTTATAAAAGCAATATTATTTCATTCCCAAAATATTTAATAAAATATAGGTAGAACCAAGAGGAAGTCACTAGTCAAGAACCAAAAATAAACCAAAACGGACAATGGAAACTATTTTACCACCAACATTGAATAATTTGTAGTCATGAATGGATAATGGTAAATTATTTACCACCCAAAAAACTACCCCTTCCCCTATTTTTTAATAAATCTTGATCAAAAATATGAAGTAAGTGACCCACAATTACCCAAAATCCACTTCAACTTTGTAAAAAAAATGCATACCAGCTCGCATTTGAATAAGGGTTAAAAAAAAGTCTGATTATTTATTGCCATTAAGGCGGAACAAAGTTCGCCGGGTCAGCTAGTTTATTATAAATATCAAAATATCGGATATTTATGATATATATCCGATATACACCGTGTTACTTTGCATTCTTGCCATATTCACAGAGATAAAAGTAGGTAACAATACCTATTATTTAAGATAAACAAGAGACTCCCATAAAGAAAGTACACTAAGATTTTAGTAAATTTGGTTTTTCAGTACAAATTGGAATAAACAAATTTTGTCTCGCACGTTCTACAGGTGCAAGTGGAATAAACCTAGTGGGCGTGGCCTAGTTCTTAATTTTATGGCTTTGGGTACCAGCCTTTTTATCCAGTCATAATAACTATTTTAAAATACTCTTCAGTTGATTTCAGATTTTCCTTTCTACTTTACGGGCTTAGGACCGTCAAAAATACGTAATAATTAATAGGGTTTCAATTAATTTACAACATTGTACCCTATTTTTACAAATTAATAAGTTAAGTATGAAATAAAATCACCTTATTCATAATTAATTATTTATTCATAAGTTCCTACTTACAAAGTTTACGTACTGCGAAGCAAGTGTTCAAAGTGTCCTCCGTTCTGATGAAGGCACAGTCTAGCACGGCGAAGCGTAGGTTTTTCGCTTTAGTTTCCGCAATACATAAACGTTTTGTATCACAGTTTCACTAAAACAATCCTTTCATGTAACGCGTTTACACTGTTTATCTCTTCTGCGCATACCAGTCGTTTCAAGTCACTCCAAAAATCCATTGGTGTCAGGTCCGAGGATCGTGGTGGCCAAGCTACTGGACCCCTCGTCCAATCCACTGTTCACCAAACGTATTATTCGCGCACTTGACGTCCTTATTGTGGGGGAGCACCATCCTGCTGGTAGTAGAGCATTTGGTGTAACGCTAAGGGTACGTCATCAAGCATTTCGTCTAAGACGTCTTGCAGACACTCCAAGCACCATTTTGATTAAATTATTCGTTCCAGATCGACAAGGTAACGTGGGCTTTATGGCGAGGACATTAGGCCCAGTTCCCGCTGCAGCTGAGGCGGAGCGTGCAGGACTCCAAGCGCGCGCTCGCCATCCAGATCGACAAGGTAACGTGGGCTTTATGGCGAGGACATTAGGCCCAGTACCCGTTGCATCTAGGCGCACCAGATCGACAAGGTAACGTGGGCTTTATGGCGAGGACATTAGGCCCAGTTCCCGCTGCATCTAGGCGCACCATATCGACAAGGTAATGTGGGCTTTATGGCGAGGACATTAGGTCCAGTACCCGTTGCATCTAGGCGCACCAGATCGACAAGGTAACGTGGGCTTTATGGCGAGGACATTAGGTCCAGTTCCCGCTGCAGCTGAGGCGGAGCGTGCAGGACTCCAAGCGCACCAGATCGACAAGGTAATGTGGACTTTATGGTGATCGAAATTATTGACGAAATGTAATAACTTAAGGTGGTGTGCCACGGTATTTCACTGCATTGCGCACCCTTTTGAAGTACAGCGAACTGGAGTCGTTGTCTCATCAGGGGGATGCGCGATACCAATAGCAAGAGCGTCCGCGGAAGACCAGCTTACTCGTAAGGACATGTCAAGATAAATGCTGAGCGGCAGGCTATTGGCGCAGTGGCGCAGTACTTATTTTTATGTACTGTTGTTGTTGTTTAATACGTATTATGCACTTTTTTTTGTCAATAAAGTTTCTCTATTAAAGGACATCATCCATTTTGGTCCAGAATCAAAAGTGCCGGCCAAAAAATAAAAGTGCTGTAATCTGATAGAATACGTCCGCCTTAGCATTTATTACTATGGCACCAAAGCTGTAGCACCACTGTGCATCGTAGTATTTGAGTTCTAAAAATATATGAAACGACTGACTTTGATCNTTACAGTCAAACCTGGATAAGCGAGAGTTCAAGGGAGCACAATCTCATTCTCGCTTATAGAGGTTTCTCACTAACCCGAGTTTCTCGCTAATGCAGGTACATGGGTAGCGTTTCTCTCTTATAGGGGTACGCAGCAAGAACAAATTCCTTCGCAATTGAAAACTATAAACTGAGTAAGTCTGACAAACAGGACGGTACACAGGCACACGTGTCCATTTGAAAAGAATACGATAAAATAACAACAATAAAGTTATATTTAGTTCCACGAAATAGAATAGGAACAATATTGAGGAGAATACAAAAACAATGGTAGGAAGTTCCACGAAAGTTAAGAATGAGTTATAAAATAGCACATGTTAAATTTGTAAATAAAAAAAATAAAAAAAAAATAAAGCTCGACTGTCGCTTATAGAGGTATAGATAAGTAGCAGTCTCACTTACGGAGGTCTATGAGGGAAAAACGACTCTCTCTTACAGAGGTTTCTGTTTCTCGCTAATAGAGGTTTTGGGAGCTTAAAATGACGGGTCCTGGCTATTACTCTCACTTATAGAGTTTTCTCACTTATCCAGTTCTCACTTATCCAGGTTTGACTGTATTTNCACCTGGCCGCTAACTTAAAAATCAGACACACCTGGCCACGCCTGGTCGCTACTAGTTGTGGAACATGCATAGCTCCAATGAATCCTACATAGCATTTATGAATTTTATAAATGAATTGTCTTTTCATCATACCTCGAGTACTCATTGCAAAAATAGCGTCTAATAAAACTACACAAGTCTGTCGTCGGTTCGTAAAATCAAAGTTATCTTTATTCGTGTAGACTAATTAAATTAGTTACTTACAAATGTCAAAATGTTCTTAAAGAGCCTAGTGCTTCGAGACAAATATTTAGTAAAAGAAGCGTACCAAGAATCGCTTCATAAACTATCAAGGAGTAACCTTGACCAAATGAATCATTCAAGTTTTTTTTTGTGCTAGTATAACTTTGTTCTTATGTACAGTTTAAATGTACTTTAATGATAGATCTTATCAATTCTACAACAATATAAAAAGTGGCATCTAGCTTTATACNGCCGCTCACCATCGCGCGCTTCGTGGACATCGCGGGCGCGCTGCTGGCCGCCGTCACCCGCGACGCCAAGCTCAACAACGACAACTACGTCGCCAAGGTGGGACACTACGTCACTCAAGTGAGACACTACGTCATTGAGGTGGGACACTACGTCACTCAAGTGAGACACTACGTCACTGAGGTGGGACACTACGTCACTGAGGTGGGACACTACGTCACTGAGGTGGGACTCTGCGTCACTAAGTTGGTGGTAAATGGTAGAGGTGGGACACTACATCACTAAGGTAGGACTACGTCACTGAGGTGGGACACTACGTCACCGAGGCGGGACACTACGTCACCGAGGTGGGACACTACCAGGGTTCGAAAATATCCGATATCTATATATATAAAAGANTATATGAAACATGGATGATGTCCTTTACATTTTGTTTCTAAAAACTTTGATGACCATTTTTTTACAAGAGTTAGACATGTCAGCGCGCATGTGACGATACTTTTGTGGTATTCAGAGGATGACTGTTTTAATTAATATTTGCTGATGTTGTGCAGATGCTGTTAAGCAAGGAGACAGAGCTGGCTCTGTGGCAGAAGAAGACCCTGGACAGCTGCGTGGAGTACAAGCAGGGCCTCATCCATCTGTCCGCGCAGTTCCCAGAGCTGGCGTCTCTTGCTATTGACGAGAAGTGAGTTACAATTTGTTGTTGTTCAGGTGTGAAACCAACATTTCAGAATAGTTATTGTACTCATTAATTATTAATTTTATATTTTACTAGCTTTTGCCCGCGGCTTCACCCGCGTGAAATTTAGTGCCACAGATCTGGGTTACAAATAATAATACTGTAAAGTTTCAACAAAATCCGTTCAGTAGATTTTGCGTGAAAGAGTAACAAACATCCACACAAACTTTCGCCTTTATAATATTAGTAGGATAATAGGATGTGACAAAAAAATTATAATGTTTTTATAAATCACACTATGTATTTTGTATCTACATTTATTGAATTTTTTGATACAATTTTTTTATGACACGCCTGGTACGTCATAGGGTTTTTCTGCATTGGCTAATAGACAACGGTGCCATCTAGCTAATTATAATGAATATTATACTGTTACAATTATTTAAACCTTACGTAAAAACCTAAAAATATTAGACGTGTTACTATCTGTGTCACCGTAGTGACCCGATTTGCTTAAGAGCGTTTACGCGAAGCGCGGCATTTCAAGGGGCATCATTGGAAATTATTCGCGCTCGGCGTTTTTTAATAGTTTCCAAATGTTTATAGCAAAACAATAACAATGAATTATACAGGGTGTTAGGTAAATGGGTATATGAGCCGAGACCAGCCCATGTTAACATACTCATATAAATACTATAGTGGTGTCAGAAAGTCTGGGAAAGGTACCATTATTGAGTAATCAGCTGATTCAGTTTTTGTCGCCAAATTGCGTCGTGACACCCCTGAAAATTAATAGTACGACAAACTAGCGTAGATAAAACAAATAACAGAATTCATTATAATTTTCTGCCTAAAAATTTGTCTCTGAGAGGCAAAACCTTAAGCAATCCCCCAGGAAAATCAGTCCATCTAAAAAGATTTAGCACAAGTCAAATACCCCCTTACCTTATTTGATTCGATTTGGATTTTGGATAAGTAAAAGTAAACAAAGTGGTCAAGAATTAATTTTACTTCATAGACTTACTTATTAAAATAAACTGAATAATCAGGACCGTTCATTGTGGACGTCATTCGGCTGAAATGAATGAACGAACGAATCATTAAACTTGATAACTTTGATTAAGGAAAATGAGACATTGTAGGTAATCATTTAAATTTTATCATCGTAAATCACGATATTGTGTACTAAAAATACCTTAACTAAAAATAAGACACCATTGAAAAAAAACCTTAGGCATTAAAGAAATGTGTCCAACGCACTGTTTAATCTTTGAAGGACAACGAAATGTCTTTTGTTGACGAACAACGGAACCGGCACGTGTAGTGCGAGTGAGACGCAAGACGTATCGCACGGCGGCTTTCACTTGCAAGAAAGAGTCGGAAGATCATCGCGGCGCAGGAGTAGGGATGTGTAAGGAGGTGACATTGAAGGCAAAAAATCGATTAAGATTTTTCACGTGTTCAATAATAAATCGTTGAAGGATTTTTTTTCTACAAATAATCAATTTAGGTGCCATTAATTCATTTCCAATCATTAATGGAGACGACATGTGGTTGGGGTTAAGTTTTCATTTCATGATTGACTAATGAAGGTCGAGGTGCCGTATATCTTTTCAAAGTAAATATTTTAAAGAAGATGTTATTTTATTATATTAAGCTATTTTTATGTTGAATTAAAGAAGAATAATGGTGTAAAAATCACTTTGATTTTTGGGTATATCACGTTCTTTAAATTTGTGATTTCTTATTGTTAAATGCTTAAATCTAAAAATTTTCTCAGATAACTATTTGCCCAAGGATCTATGCTATAGGATATAAATGTTTGTTAAATCGTTTTCACAGTATTTTTATAAAAATTTCAGCTTGTAAACTGACGCTAAAGTGAAAATTTACAAAACCTGTGTGGACTTATCTTGATAGAATTCTTAAATACTAAACTAATCGCAATATTTTCTCAATTAACTATTTAGACGACGAAATTGCCTAACTATTTATGCCTATAACATATTTGTAATATTACTGGTTAATGATTGTAACGAGTTGAAAAAATACTGTTTTTGCGCCAATCGGCGTAAACGCTCTTAAGTTTTTGTTATTTGTCATATTCGCAGAGAGTTGATGGGCAGCGAGTGCGCGGCGTGGGTGCAGCGCGCGGTGGAGGCGCTCCGCACGCGCTCGCAGCGCCTCGCCGACCAGCGAGCCGAATTCGCCGCGAGCAAGAGTGCGCTCTGCCGGAAACGGGCCATGATGCTGGTGAGATAGCACACTTTTTTATCAAGCACTAGACATACTAGAGACGTCATCTTCTTTACCATACAAAATTTATGAGAGCTACTCTTACGTTTAGAAGCTCATAAAAAGTACGAGTGGCATGTCAATTACTATTTTTAACATGTGTTAAAAAAAAATTGTGCTGAAAACATTGTAAATTTATTCCTTCCCTTCCTATAGGACGAAACCCGTACCAAGATAACCGAGCTAAAGGCCACTATCCAACGCGAGCAAGAGTCCCTCGACAACGAACTGTCCCGCGAGGCGAGCGAAGCTAGCGCGTGGAGCTTGGAGCAACGCGAGCTGAGCACGCGCCTCGACGCATTGCGGGCCCACCAGGACGACTACGCCAGGCTGCAGGCCGAGCTGGACTGCTGGGAGAGGCAGGACGACGCGTGAGTGTCCCCAGCGAGTGTCCCGCAGGCGAGCGAGGCTCGCGTGGAGCAGGACGCGCTGCGGGCCCACCAGGACGACTACGCCAGGCTGCAGGCCGAGCTGGACTGCTGGGAGAGGCAGGACGACGCGTGAGTGTCCCCAGCGAGTGTCCCGCAGGCGAGCGAGGCTCGCGTGGAGCAGGACGCGCTGCGGGCCCACCAGGACGACTACGCCAGGCTGCAGGCCGAGCTGGACTGCTGGGAGAGGCAGGACGACGCGTGAGTGTCCCCAGCGAGTGTCCCGCAGGCGAGCGAGGCTAGCGCGACTAGCATAAAGCGGAAAGACCATTAGGACTTATACATAGCATCATATTTCAAGATCCTAGGAATGCTGTTTCGAACATTGACACCGCTGTCGCTGCTGTTGCGCTCGCACACTCACTGCGGGCGCCAGTCGCACAGTCGCGAAAGCAATATAATTACGCGCGAGCGATAAGGATGGGTAGCTTGGGGTCATTGGACAAAATTCTAAGTGCTCAGAGATCAGACTATAGACCATTGTTGTGAGCCCGCACGTAACACCTAGAATTTAACTTGTCATGAGGAGTTAATAGTCCGATTAATATAAACTATTTTTTAAATTAGATTTTTCTTCTGTACCCAGATGGCGCGCCAAACTCAAAGCGCTAGAAGAATACATCGAGTCGCAGCGCGCCGAGATCGCTCGCGAGCTAGAATCAGCGCGAGCTAAGCGCCTGCGCTTGTTTGTGGAAACAGTGCGCGCATGGGACGAACGGCTCGCGCAGTGAAAAGTGAATGAAAATTATTCTCAGTAAGTTAGAGTTAAGATTACTTTTACGCGTCCCACCCAACATAACGATTTTGGCATTAATACTACAGTTTTGGGACAAGCCAGTGCTGAGACACTGTAGCAAAAGAATATTAATAAATCGTCAACAATTTTACAAAATTATGTACTGTTTGAGTTAGGTACGAAACGCCTTTATAATGTACTTCTCAAAAACTTTTATAAAATTGAAACAAGCATTGCCGACTGCTGGATTACAGTCGTTTATTACAGCTTTATAATTATGTACTGCATGTAAATAATACCAAATAGACAATAATTTTAAATATTTTATAAGTTTACAAATAAAACAAAAAATATTTACACAGCCTATTTATTCATCTCGATCACCTATTACTGTTCTTGATGACCAAATCGACGCTGTTTTCGACGTTTTCGCACAAAGTTTTGAAGTCGTTTTGAACCCACGTGTGTCCATGGTTAACGGATTTGCTTTTCGGTTTATCGCTCTTCGGTGGAGGAATCGCAGGTTTGAACGCCATCTGCGAGCCGTCGTACGCGTCGAATATTTGCAACGGAGATCTAAAAAGAGAATGTTGTATGAGTAATGATGTAATGCCATATTTATTACAACCTATTTACATGATTAGATGTTGAATGGCGACTAAACTTATCCCAACTAATATTATAAATGCGAAAGTAACTCTGTCTGTCTGTCTGTCTGTCTGTCTGTCTGTCTGTCTGTTACGCTTTCCCGCTTAAACCTCGCAACCGATTTTGATGAAATTTGGCATAGAGATAGTTTGAGTCCCGGGAAAGAACATAGGATAGTTTTTATCCCGGTTTTTGAAACAGGGACGCGCGCGATAAAGTTTTTCTGTGACAGACAAAATTCCACGCGGGCGAAGCCGCGGGCGGAAAGCTAGTTTTATTTTATAAATTTGTAACAAGTGGAGTCAGAAGAAAAAGCTATTCATGACGGATGACACCTTAGAGGTGTCATCAATTTTCCTTGGCACTCCAGAGGTGTCACGAAATATTAGTAAATTTTCTTTTAATTTTTATGAGTTTAGTACCATACTGGCGTATCTTCGGTTTGGTCATTATGGAAATGGATGGGTGTGGCCTTTGCTCAGCAGTGGACGTCCTATGGCTGAAATTATGTTGACTCACAGTTTATTCAACTCAGCAACATTCCCAGCCTGCATCAAGGCCGCTGCTTGCTGCCTGACAACCAGATGGTAATGCGTCCGCATAGCACAGAGTTCGTGTAGCGCGGCCGCGTGCGCGTTGCAATGCTCCGGCGATGGCAGCAGCGGCTCGAAGCGGCCGGACCCTGCTTCTGAGTCCGGTTCCAGGAGATTCGATACTGCTTTGCTTTGCTGGAAGTGGAATTGTTGATTAGATTTTGAAGAGAGAACAAGTAGTGACCAAAGGTTTTTTAGTAGAAAATAAATTGATGGATAGACGATAGAGGCCAAAAATAAACCAACGTACAGTAGGCGCGCGAGTTCATGTCCATCGGGGCCTTACTTACTTATTTACTTATACTTACTTATAAGTTGCAAAAAATATGAAATAAGTAGATAAGGTTGACCTACTTAATTGGTAATAATTATCGATATCGACATTAGCATAATTAGTTAGGTAACAGCACTACCGCATTCTTTAGGATGGACATGAACTCGCGCGCCTACTGTAAGTGAGCCATTTTTTTTTCTATGCTTTTTTATTTAATGGCAATCAAACCTCTGTGGGAGATTTATTTCTGTCTGTTTTGTCAAGTCAAATGCTTTGCGCATATACTGACCGATAGGGACGGCTCTATGTGGGACTCTTCCTACCTGGAGTCCACCCACTAAAATGGCGGAGTTATTGAAACGGAGCCGCGAGTTATTGTCCTAACTGGAGGAATTTAGACATTCCTCCGCAACTCAAGTATAAGTGGGCCAGCCTTGTATGTCGCAAAACCTTTTTTATTATTCAAAGGAGACCACGTCTCGGCATGTACTGCAAGCGGACCTTTTCGATGGTCCGATGTCTAGAACTAAGCTGCTGAATAAAAAACAGTGCTTTGTAGCATATTTTGAAAGCAAACCTGAGCCAACTGCTGCAGCAACGCCAGCGCCGCCAAAGCCGCGTGGTGCTGGGTCTGTGCCGCAAGCGTGGCCAGGCGCTTGGCGAATGCTTGTAAGACCGCGGGCGATACGCGGCGCGCGCGCGAGCATATCTGCCACACTGCTTCCAGCACTATACGCGCGTCGGATTGGGAGGCTCCTGCGGGACAACAAAATACACATTTAATAAGCATAACGCACACGTAATAAGTGTCTACTACCACCACTCTCAACACAAGTTTAATTAACTGTTTTATCTAAACTGTGGTAAATGATGCTGGTGTTGAATTTAGATAATATTGGTATATTATTACTATTTATTTGCTACTGTACTTCAATACTGTTTTTTTACCCAAATAAATAAAGGATAGTGCCAGGGTCTGGACCAAGTGCTGCTCAGAATCAACCCATAGTGCATTTTGTTCCTCAGGCCAATACTAGTGTGTAAACCGAAACGCACTTAAATCTATCCCTGGAGTTAAGAGAAAAAAAGAGTTTTGTTTTGAATTATTTACATACAAAATATCATCGATATATACGTACTACGCATAAGATTTCGTGATTTTGGCATTAAATAACACTCGCTATGTTAAACTTAACCATACTGCATCCGTACACCTTACTTTAGTGCGACTAAGACATTCTTTATAAGCGATCTAATGCTGTTCGATTCGGTCGAGACCTGGGCAGTGCTACAGTCTCTCCAAAGGTGCCAAATTGACTATCGATATATCGAAGTGTTGAGGGATTTGTACAAAAACGCCACAATGTCGGTCCGCCTCCAGGATCGGGATTCGAAACCTATCCAGTTGCAGCGAGGGGTAAGACAGGGAGACGTCATATCTCCAAAACTGTTTACCACCGCCCTGGAAGATGTCTTCAAGCTTCTGGACTGGAACGGATTTGGCATAAATATCAACGGCGAGTACATCACCCACCTTCGATTCGCGGACGATATCGTAGTCATGGCTGAGACCTTGGAGGATCTAGGCACAATGCTCGATGGCCTCAGTAGAGCCTCTCAACAAGTGGGCCTCAGAATGAACATGGACAAGACAAAAATCATGTCTAATGTCCGTGTTGCACCCACTCCTCTGAAGGTTGGAGACTCTACACTCGAAGTTGTCGACAATTATGTATACCTGGGACAAACAGTCCAGTTAGGTAGGTCCAACTTCGAGAAAGAGGTCAATCGTCGAATCCAACTCGGATGGGCAGCGTTCGGGAAGCTTCGCCATATACTCATGTCCGAAATACCGCAGTGTCTCAAGACGAAAGTCTTCGAGCAGTGTGTGTTGCCAGTGTTGACATATGGATCCGAAACGTGGTCGCTTACTATGGGCCTCATAAGAAGGCTCAAGGTCACCCAAAGGGCGATGGAGCGGGCTATGCTCGGAGTTTCCCTGCGTGATCGAATCAGAAATGAGGAGATCCGTAGGAGAACCAAAGTAACCGACATAGCTCGCAGAATTGCTAAAATCAAGTGGCAGTGGGCGGGGCACATAGCTCGTAGAGACGATGGCCGTTGGGGCAGGAAAGTTCTCGAGTGGCGACCACGGGCTGGAAAACGTAGCGTGGGCAGGCCTCCTACTAGGTGGACCGACGATCTGGTAAAGGTCGCGGGAAGAGCCTGGATGCGGGCAGCGCAGGACCGTTCATTGTGGAAAACCTTGGGGGAGGCCTTTGTCCAGCAGTGGACGTCATTTGGCTGAAACGAACGAACGAATGCTGTTGCAATAATTTGGTTAGTTGACAGAAATCATTATTTCCAAAATAAAGCAAGAAGTTTTAGTTCTATATCCTTGCGAAAAATCAGTTTATTGGTGTATTACAATCGATTATTGAAGTTATTGTAAGCTAAAACTTCTTGCTCCATTTTGGAAATAATTAATTTCGTTCAACTAACTAAACTACTGAAACAGCGCTTGATCGCTTATAAATAATGTCGAAGTCGTACTAAAGTAAGGTGTACGGATGCAGTATGGTTAAGTTCAACATAGCGAGTGTTATTTAATGCCAAAATCGCCAAATCTTATGCGTAGTAGGTATACATCGATGATATTTTGTATGTAAATAATTCAAAACAAAACTCTTTTTTTCTCTTAACTCCAGGGATAGATTTCAGTGCGCTCCGGTTTACAAATTAGTATTGGCCTGAGGAACAAAATGCACTATAGTTTCATTCTGGGCAGCACTTGGTCCAACTTCCATACATGGATTGGCACTGTCCTTTCTAAGGCACATCTGAAGTCTCGCTGACGTGTGATGCCACACTCTGCACCACAAAAGCTTTCTCAGTTATCAGGATTCAGTATAGGGGCACCTAATGTAGATATAACACACTTTATTATACACCACATTAAACAAAAAAGAATAAAAAGAAATACAGAATAAAGACGGCACAATTTAGCCGGTCTTATTGCTATAAAGCGATCTCTTTCATACAACCTAGAGGACTTGTTTTTGTTATAATGTGTAAACACAGTTCCCAAGCGTTGTCTTGCAGTTTTTATAGTCCAAACTGAGGGACGCGGCAGCCTCGCCTCGGTAAATGAAGCGATTCTATTAGTGCCTTACAAACACATCCCTCGCTAAGCATCCTCGCACCTCTTTGGTGGAAACGCAGCCTTAAACTGGCCACCAAGAAAACTTCATTCTTTTCTCGACGACCAATAATACCGTTACTCTTTTGTTTCTTCTCTCGCTCTCGTCTCTCGATTTTTCTCATGCATTTCCACGACTCGGATTAATAAATATTTTGTAAATAATATAAACACATTAGATTAATTCTGCCACTACAAAAAGACGCTCGTCCTCTCTTATTGTAAAATGCCAAGACTCACATTGGGTCGCTGCGCCAGCTTTGTTAATTTTATCGATCAGACATTGTTCTGATAGTACTTTTAAAACTATCGTACACTTACCCGCATGCACCCCAATCGCGCTAGCATACAGATGCTGGTGGAACTTGGCCGGATCCACTGTTAGCGCGTCTCCTGCCCCAGCTAACACACCCAGCACTGTGCGTACGCATAGCAGACGCTCGCGGGGACCAATGAGCTCGTCTTCCACCAGCCGAGACAATATGGCGACCAGGTCTGAGTAGTACTCCATGTTGATTACGTGCGTGAACCTTGAAGTGAATAATGTTTGTTTTATTAACAATTTATAAACTGTTATATCGCTTAAAATATCGCTGTTTATAAACTGAAGGGCCACAAATAAAATTTGTTCAGTTTTTTGAGGAAAACGCATAAAATCAGAGTGACTAATTATTAAATATAAAAAAAAAGAATATTATGAATATTCATACATTAATTCTAGCAAGATTTTCTTTTTTAAGTTATTTCGACTATTTTTTGTGAATTTAATAAGCAGTGATTTATTCGGAAGCTTTCATAGACGTTTAATAGTAAAAAAATAAAATGTCATGAAAATTCTGGGATATCCAAAAATATCCAATAAATTTTTTTTCTTATTTTTTAATTAAATAAAATAATTTAAAAATTTATTAAAAAAGAAAATACAAAAACTATGTTTCCGCCCGGGATCGAACCGGGGGCCTTCTGCGTGTTAGGCAGATGTGATAACCGCTACACCACGGAAACGTTGGAGACACCGCCAAAATTAACGATTAGGTCAAGTGAATGAAAGTAAACCAGTTTTTATTGACCCCAATTTTTAAAAGATCAAGATTCGATAAAATAAAACAAATAATTAATTAGGTATTTATAAAGATAAAAATCACAATAACCGGTCAGTCATTGGGGGATAGGCCTAGTAGTAGTAGCGGATAAGTAAGTGGACGACCTGTGGCTGAAATGATGATGAAAGATAACAAAATCATTGTAGATTTGTGATTATGTGTTGTAAGCATAATAAATTAGAACCTTCAAGTACCAGCGAATCTAGACACAATGAAAATCAATTATTACCGCGGACGCTTAGGGTTCCATGAAAAGTATTTAACTTGGTCGTCATAAGTTCTATTGTGTTTATTGTGGGCGCAAGTTGCTCGCCATTACCATTATTGCCTTTTCCCTGTAGTAGTCAAATCATTGACGACCCTGACCACTTTGACAAGAGATTACAGTAGAAAACGTGAGTAAGGAAGTGGACCTATTTTCGCAGTCTTATGCCCGTTTTCACCATCAATCCCTATTTTTTAGGTGACCCCTATGGTAACATATAACAGGCATTTTGTTTTCATAGGGGTCACTTAAAAATTAGGGGTTGATGGTGAAAACGGGCATTATTCATCTCACTTAAAGATATGCAAGTCTAAGTTATAAAATATAGCCATTTATCTGTGAAGTTTTTGTTTTGGAACTATTTTTTGTATAGTCGTATCATGTACTAAGCAAATGTCGTGTATAGCTATAACTGGAGTGCAAATTTATTCGATGTACCTTTTTGTTATCTAAATTATTTGTAAAAACTAATTTGTATTCTGTTGCTGTACCTAAATAAATAGCTCGTAGAGACGATGGCCGTTGGGGCAGGAAAGTTCTCGAGTGGCGACCACGGGCTGGAAAACATAGCGTGGGCAGGCCTCCTACTAGGTGGACCGACGATCTGGTAAAGGTCGCGGGAAGAGCCTGGATGCGGGCAGCGCAGGACCGTTCATTGTGGAAAACCTTGGGGGAGGCTTTTGTCCAGCAGTGGACGTCATTTGGCTGAAACGAACGAACGAACGAACTTAAATAAATAAAAATAATATTTAACATACTTGGTGAGTCCACTGAGCGCGGCGGCCAACAGTCTCGAGCGCGGCGCCGTCTTGAGCAGGCGGAAGTACACGTGGAACACCGTCTTGGTGACCTCGGTAAGCTGCTTGCGCCGAGCTAGCTCGCTCTCCTGAGCTTCCGTCTCTAGTAGCTCGCGTTCTACCTCCTTAAGCTTCTTTGCTCTCTGGAAGGAAGGAAACATGTCTCGATGTTAGTGCTTTGGAGAATTTGATACAAATAATAATATAGTTATAGTACCAGAGCCCCGATTACGGTAATTTTTAACGTCTCCAATCCAGACACGCTTCTCGATTCTGCGATACGATTGGTCGTTCAACAGCGTACGTCAGCTGTTTTGACCAATCGTATCGCAGAATCGATGAAGCGCGTACCGTAATCGGGGCTCAGTACAACACCACAGGCATCTTATGTTGTATAGTAGGTGCTATTTTGTAAAAAAAGAACTGGTGTGCTGTAACTACTTGATTTGGTCCCATGTTCTGATAATTCTTAGGAAGGCGCAAATTTAATCCCGTCGTCTGCGGCAATATGGCGGATTTTAGGCTGTGCACTGGATTTGGTACAGACGATGGCATGACTGGGTATTATGGCATCAGAGGTGGAATTGTGTAAAGCAATCGTAATTTGACAGTTCATAACCTACGATAAAGTCAGATAAACAAAGCGTTTGACAGAATAATTGTACATTAACTGTCAAATGATAACGATTGGTTTACACAATTCCACCTCATATCCAGTTGTAATAATTTTGTAACAAAAATTGGACACCCTTGTATGCATTCAAGAAGTTAGAATTAACATAGTTCTCTTCTATGGGCACATACCTTTTTCTCCTTCTTGGACAAGTTAACGATCCTCTTCTTATGCTTGCTGTCCTGTTTCTTCTTGTGTTGAAGGTCGGCGGCCGCGTCCATGTCTACGTCTCGTATGCGGAGACTTAGGAGGCAGTCTAAAGCGGCCGGGTGCAAGCGCTCGCCGCGGCGCTTCACTAGCTGGTTGATGAGGCGGACGATCTGTGGGAGATAAAGTTTTAGTAGTCAGCGTCAAATAGCTTGTGATACCCAAAATAGCCAAAAAGTTCACAACAGCTCTTTGGTACAAGTGGAATTGGACGCTAACTGTACGAAACCATATTAAGCCTCGTTAAACTTAGGAAATTAGAAAGACTCATCTTTCTAGATGATGATGACGATAAAAAGTTAGTTGTTATCACCAATCAATGGAATCTGGCCATAATGCTCTGGAACTCTCTGCCTGAAGAGACCAGGCAAGCGTCTAGCTTAGTAGACTTATTTTCTTTTAAAAAATCTGTCCATAACCACTTCCTCCAAATGATTTCATCTTCATGAATTGTAATTTCAGTTTAACTCAATCATCTATTTTATGTTTGTCGGCCGTGTGGTGACGGCAGAGTAGAATACATTTGTCACCAACCCCTACTCTTCCCGCGGGTGTCGTAAGAGGCGACTTAGGGACTACACATCAAACAGAGAACGGGCAGCAGCGCTCTCTGACAAACATAAATCTTTTAAACTGCGATCTCCAACCCGCCTGCCAAGCGTGGGGATTATGGCAAAACCCTCTACTATAGTGGAGGAGGCTCATAGTCCAGCAGTGGACTGTAAAGGGCTGTTGATGATGATTTGTTTTTCTTTCCTGCACTAGAAGTACCGCCAAACAAAGGACAATGGGCAAAATGGTACCCGGCTCCAATAGATATGAGTCTAGTATTGTTTGAAAGGTCTTACCAAGATGAACAACTTTTACTATGACCACCAGCCTCAGATCTGGTTGCGTTCGAAGATAAAGTTACTTTTTGTGTAACCTAAGTATCATACAGTATGAAGGGGGACGCGCTCGGGGCAGGGCACCGACGAGATGGTCGGACGCGGTGAGGAAGACGGTGGGCGGGAGTTTGCATCGTGCGGTCCACACAGATTATGAGGAACTGTGGAGGAACACTATCTGTGGTCGCGATCCTCATCAGTGAGGGAGGAAGAGACCGAGGAAGAAAAAGAAGAAGTATCATACGTGTCCATCGTATGGTACTTAGGTTATGCGAGGCAGGAAGGGTTTACTGTTCCAGCATCCTTCCTTAACTCTATAATTTATTGATGGGGATGATTGTGAAATAAATATTTTTATTTAAAGAAATACTACCCCCTTATTAATAAAAAGTTACACCTAGGAAGAACCTTGGATTAAAATGACATTTCCATACCAAATGACAATTTAAGCCAGAGTTCAACTAAGGTGTAACTTTTATTAATAAAGGGGTTAAAGTTTTATTACTTCTTAAGGGTTTTATTATGGGTTGCTAAAGCGAATAAACCCACAAGACCCAACAAGTCCACCCACAAGATGGACCGACGACCTCACAAAGGTAACGGGAAGGNGGGTATTCATAGCACCGTTGCTCTAGAAGAGATGTCCACCGCCCTCTAGCGAGAGGAAAAAACCACTGAAGAACACTGATGATAATGACTACGACTTAGCTTGTACACCCTTGACATGAATTTTAAATTTTACTGTCTTTAAATTTAAATCATAATTGTCATTTTTATGAATAAAGATGTGAAGAAAAATTGGGTGCATTTTTTTACATATTTTTTTCGAAAACTTATCGATACATCTATGTGAACCGTACGAAACATACACACCACTAGTCACATTCGTTTGACAGCCGTCATTCTAATCAAGCTATATTGGATAGACTATAGTAGTGACTGATTTGGAATAGGTTTTAATATAAAAAAAAAACATTTTTTTTAATTATGTAAAAGTGTGTTTACATACTCGTATACAATTCACGTTGATACTCACAGCCAGTGTAATCTCTCCCTTCTGGTCTTCCCCAAAGACAGTCCTACAGCATTCCGTCACAATCTCCCTTGCTTGGTCCTCCCTGCAGTCCAGGTAAGGGACTACGCTCTGCGCTATGTTGGCTGCGTAGTTGAACTGCGGCCGGGCTTCTAGCATCCCACACATGCAGCGGAGCGAGACCAGGGCTAAGCTTATTGTGGGTTCATCGGGTTTCCTGGGAACAAATTCAAATTATTAAGATGTAGGTCTATTCCACAGTACGGACTACTATTCCGGAGGTAGCGGGTTCGATTCCCGCACAGTACAAACATTTGTGTGCATGAACATATTTGTTTGTATTGGACTGGGTGTTTTCTATGTATAATAAGTATGTATTTACAAAAAAGAAAGTATTTAAGTATGTTTATATCCGTTGTCTAGTACCCATAGTACAAGCTTTGCTTAGTTTGGGACTAGAGGCGCAGTGTAAAATGTCTAAGGATATTTATTTATTTATTTAAAGTGGACTCCCAAGTCTTTTGATCACTAGGTGATCAAAGGACACCAAAGTGTCGCCTGGAGTTGACTTTGATCACCTGGGTGACCACTGACCAAATCCAGATGATCAAAATGGAATAGACCTTTTCAGGGCACTCATACACGTCCCAAACATAGCTTGCCATACCACCACTTCGGGACAACCAACATACAGCTGGTGTTCAGAATAAGTGGGGGAAGAAACTCAAAATTCTAACTCAAAAACACAAATAGACATGGTAGTAGTAAGGTATCTCCCATGATTCAAGGATATGTGTAAGCCATCGACAAGGGCGGGCGGGTTTGGTCGTAGCTATTTACTGATATTTAACGTTGTGCATCAACAACAGCCGTTTACAGTCCACTGCTGGACTATGAGCCTCCTCCACTATAGTGGAGGGTTTTGCCATAATCTCCACGCTTGGCAGGCGGGTTGGAGATCGCAGTTTAAAAGATTGATGTTTTTCAGAGAGCGCTGCTGCCCATTCTCTGTTTGATGTGTAGTCCCTAAGTCGCCTCTTACGACACCCGCGGGAAGAGTAGAGGGTTGGTGACAAATGTATTCTACTCTGCCGTCACCACACGGCTTGTGACCACACCATGCAGCGTTGTGCATGACTTTGCAATATTAACGACTTTTGAACGGTTCTATGGCTCAACCTCGTAATCAGATGTATTTAGCAATATTGATTTTTAGTTGTTTTGAGATTGATAAACAGTCAATAGAATAGGCGAGGGTGAATCGCGCTCAGATAGCTAATAAAAGTCACAAGAAAGATACAAGAAGAAGAAAAAGATTCTTATAAACAAGTTTTTGTTGATTGATGTTGGATGAAACTTACTTTGTGTCTCCCTTCTTGCGCCGTAACACCATGGCTGCCTTCTCTAGCCTTTGCAGATATCTTTTGTAGAATTCAACCAATTCTTTTTCATATTTGTATAACGCCAATGTGTCTTTTTTCACTGCAAACAAGAACAATAAGGATTTTAAAAAAATAGGATCCACCAAATTTAAGAAAAAGCAGCTTATTTAAATTCAAATATTTAAAGAGTATGTAAACTTACATTTGATATTAGAGTAATCTTGGTGACGTATCATATAGTCTGGTAAGATGTCCTTGAACACTTCATAAGCCGAGAGAGTGGCCAGTTTGCGGACTGAATGCAAGTTTAGTGTGTTGTCCTTTAGTCGCTCTTCCATTAAGTACAGGATTGGGAAGAAGTTCTTTAGCTGCAATAAAAAAGTATTTACTATTTATTATTATATTTACAAAGTATGCATATTTATTATGGCAAATACTACAGTTGGTTGGTCCAACTGTGTTGATGCTAGATGCTTGGAGGCTAGAATATGTATTATGTGAAGACTGTAGAAGAGAAATGAGAATTTACACATAGACTTCTCTCTAAAGAACATTAAAATAGAGACAAAGCATATGATTATATCTTAGTTGATGTAGGAAAAAAAGTGTAACCACCTTGTGAGTCACAATGATCTTGCTTGATACCATTTTGTTTATCTCTATAATTTTTTCAGCAACACCTTATCAGCAGAATAATACTATTTCCAGTGATTAATTTACTAACATGAATAAATAAAATTATATTTCCTTACTTTGTTCTCCGGACTCTCCAACAAAGATGAGCACAAAGCGCCTATCCTCAGTTTGTCGTGCTGCAGCTTGTCTCTCCTTGCTGCTAGCAGCTGCACGGCACTGATTGTTTCACCGTCTCCAGCCTCATTGTCCTCCACTGTGCCCTCCATGCCCGAGTCTGACTCGGACTCCTGAGGTTGCTCTTCCTCTTTAGAAGGTTCTTCTTCTTGATAGGACTCCTCCTGTTCTGATTCCGTATCTGTGAAAGTGTTAGTGGTGGATTTATTATCATATTTTAGCAGATCATTTTGAACTCTGCCTTTTTTGGACTACTTGCTTTTAGGAATTAATTTTTTTTCTGTATTACACTATGCTGTATGTTCTTACTTAAGAAAATTAAAATGTAATAAAATAAGGCATTTGTATGGGTTAATTTCTTTCAAAATCCTAACTTCTTTATTTCAAAAGTGTACTTTGAAAAGAACACTATGTTTGTATCATGGAAAGTGTAACCATTCAGGAAAAAGAATTGTGCTATTTCTATTGTGAGCTTACACAAAAGAGTACCAAACCCAAATTTTAAAATTTTACACATTGTATAAAATATAACATCCAACAACCTACCTTCAACTTCTTCAGCCCTCTCCAACAGGCCGTGCTTAGTCTTAATGGGCAGCAGCGGCCTCATTCTCTTGGCCGGGTTCTCGGACAACTCTTTCTCGTACTTGTCCTCCAGTTCACTGTCCGAGTCATCGTCAGTCTCAGCCCCACTGTCGCTGTTCTGTTGCTGACGTTTGGGCACCTTGCCCTTGTCTTCTCTTTTACGTTTCTTGGACCTGAATGAAGGATGAATTGTAGATTTTATTGTAGAATGTGTTTGTAATATAACTTGTAAAAGCCTAATTAATTGAAATAATTAACGATAACAGAATATCCTGCCCTCATCTTTTCTTTACAAAAACAATTGAAATAAACTAAATAATGCGCTTTTTCTAAACAATTACAGGAACAATCTAGCCTAGATGCTACAAAATTTTAATCATCATCTGTTCTCAACAATAACTCATATCAAACCATATGCCTGACTCTTTCAAGGCATAAACTACTAGTTAAATGAGACATCATCTAAGGTCCACAGTTAAAGTTTCAATATAATTTAAATACCACTACTTGCTGTTTGTTTACCTCTGCACTTGCTCCTTCTCAGGCACATTGGACAGCAGCGAAGGCTGCGTGGCCAGCCGCTGCATGATGTACTGCTGTTCGTCAGCGTCCAGCATGTCAGCCCACTCCTCACCAGACGCGGAATCACTCTCACTGCTGTACTCCACCTCCTGACTCTGCTGAGGTTGCTTCTGCTTCTGTACCTTCGCTCTGTGCCTTTGGAGCCTCAGCGTCCCTTGCTTTCTCATCTTGTTCGTCGTATGATTGTTCCTCTTCACTTTGCTGATCTTCATTTTACCTTTTTTCTGGAATTTATGAGATTTTTTGGTTAGAACACAGTCGAGCGATTTTCAGGTTGTTTATGAAGTTTTATGACAAGAGATTTGTCTGAGTACTTACGGCCATCGTGTAGGATAAAATGTGTTACAATTAAATGTAATAAATTACAGCTCAAATCAATAATTAAATAAATAAAACAACGTGGGCTCCAGCAACAATGCGCTGACCAGCTGACAATAATGACACATGACAGTTTGACACATTTGATATTTGTTTTTTTTTTGTTTGTAGTGCTGCCCATTAAAAACGTGATTGTTTTTCCACTAGCTCTTGCTCCTAGGAGCTAAGTTTATGGAAAAAATTCTCATTACTTTTTTCAAGGTGGCAACACTGATACTAGATGTCATGTATACGTCAAAAACATATTGTCAAAAAAATAAACATTTGATTTCACTGAAAACGTGATGGTGTGGTGTTTATTCATAAATAATTCAGATTTGATTTAAATACAACTCATAAAATGTCTAACTCGGAGGATAAACTCCCTAAACTAAACGGCGTGGGCGCGGCAGATCCCATGCAGAGGCTGGCCTCGCTAAAGGCACCCCGCGATCTTTCTCTAGGCGGTGCTAAGCCGAATAAAAAAGTATTCATACCGAATTTGAACGTAGCTAGGAACAAAAACAAGGGGTAAGCTATCTTGCAAAGTTATCGTCCTTAATTGTTAGCATGTATTGGGCCTAGAAACTTACATAAACATTTCACTGGAGCTGCTTCGAGTTCCAACCAAATGGATTTAATGCCATCCTCGTACTTCATGTATTTAAAATCATAATGTTTTAGACCTATCTCCACAAACCCTCGTGACCACAAAAAAGATGACAAGAGCCGACAAGACCGCAAGAATAACAAAAGGAATAATAACAGAAATGGCCCCAATGTCATCAAGTCTGCTGGAGTGTTTTCAGAAGGTATATCTACATAAAAAAAAGGAAAAATGTATGATTTTTATTTTTAAATGTTCAAAAATGTAAGTTCACTAGCAAAAGGCTCACTGATTCAGTACTTACTACTTAGCTCCTTTAAATGCCTTCACCTTTCTTTTTCATACTAGTGTCAATGTGAAATTAGGCAAATATTAATAATTACTCCTAATACAGCTGAGCTGAGCTTGTGCTTCTATTTGAAATGTTTTTTTTCTCGAAGCAAATTGTTGGTTTACTACTCTTCTTCTTGTTGTGTCAACAACAAACCTATACAGTGTAGGTACCTACTACAAATGTAATAGTACAATTAATTAGTGTTGTGAATCTCTTGTAAAGTTGCTTATTTTGATTTAAACCATGTTAAGTTAGAACCTAACCAATGTCTGTTCATTTCCACAGGCCTGGGAAGTGCAGAGAGGGTTGCCTCAAGGAACTACTATGGTAAAAGGGACTCTGAGTCCACTCCTACTTTGCAGAAGCCTGCCATCAGAGTCAAGGATGTTATTAAGGTAAAGAATTGTGGATTTATTTTAAAATCTCTTTTTCTATTGTTTTTTAAATAAAAAATAACTGATCTAAAATATCTTTACCTTTTTATTGTGTGACATCATCAACAATTAGTAAATACTAGCTGACCCGGCGAACTTTGTTCCGCCTTAATGGCAATAAATAAGCAGACTTTTTTTTAATTTCGAACGGGATAAAAAGTATCCTATGTTCTTCTCCTGGCTCTAAACTACCTCCCTGACAATTTTCAGCTAAATCGGTTCAGCCGTTCTTGAGTTATAAGTGGAGTAACTAACACGACTTTCTTTTATATAATATATAGATTTAAAAATATTATGTAACTCTTAAAAATACTAAGTAAATCTTAAAATATAAAAAAAATATTTTTTTTTTGTTCTTTTTAGATTAATTGTAATAAATTGATAAAAAATTTGAAAAATGAAATTGAAAATGACTCAATAAAATAGAAGAATTTCTTATGTAATTTTTATTCAGCCACCCTACTTATAATTTTCACAGATTGACAAAGAGTTGGAAGAGCAAAAAATCAGATCGGCTTTCGGAGAGTTGGGGAACCTAGACGAAGAAGGCCAGGACTTCAAGCAGGTGAACGAACAGGATGCCCCCATCAAGCTGCCCATGGATGACGGAGGTATTTATAGAAACTACTTGCTGTATAAAATCAGTGAATGTGATTTCATAAAAGAGAATGACTAAAGAAGTATGGAATTTAGTTTGTCATTGTAGGTACCCTTTTGAAACCTACCTTTTTTTTTTCAAAGATTTAGTTTGAGAGAAATCTTTCGTGCATTAAGCGTAAAATTGACTTATTACTGTTATGAATTAATGCCTTTGCGTAATTCAAATTCAAATCTGTAGCAAATAGATTTATTGTCGAATTTTGTTTTTGTTCCGTGTACCCTGATGTTAGACTGATATAGATACTGCTGTGGAGTGTCGTGTCGCATATGTGATGAGGCGTCAAAATAACTTTTGATGTTTACTTTATCTTATTATTATTGAATTGCATGTATTTTTTAAATAATTTAGGTCAGAGATTTTTTTATCTTATTTTTTTTATTTTGTCTCCAGAAGTAGCTGTATAATCCCTGAATCCCTGATGTTTACATTTTGTTTCAGATTTATATAAGTTTTATTTATGACTAAATAAGGTTAATAACGTTTCCTTTTAGGCTGGCATAGCAAATCCAAACCAGTGGTCAAGGTTAAGCAGGAGGTGATCATCAAAAACGAACCGGCAGACGATGTAGACTGCGCCAGTAAGAACATTTTGTGCGGCATTATTTTTTGGCATAACATTAATTTTCCTACTGTAATCCACTTCACCCTCTTTAATGTTTCCAGTGGCAATATTTCGTTTTAAACTTGATTTTTATTTAAATAAAATCTTTTAAGGGTTTCTGAAGACTTGGCTCCCAATCCGACTGGCGATTGAAAATTCGACCATTATGTTTCTTCGTTGTAATGTTATCCTTTTATTATAAGTTATAATATTTATTATGTTTATTAACTTACCTAATTTCCAGTTGCCCAACTAATTGTCTTTCTTACACGGCAATGAACACGTTATTTTTTAAAGCCAGGGTGTATTAGAAAATGGATGATTAATATTATGCCTCATACAATATTCCGTAGCCTCAGCTTCTGCAGTTCCTGAGAGCCAGGCGGACCGTTTCGCCTGGCGGCACGGAGCAGCACAGACGAGAGATTTAAATAATTGTAGAGATTTCGATGCATTTCCTTGTGTATTCGGAATTTCAGGACGGCTTTGGTGGTGGAGAAAGATTGTAGTTCTAAAGCCACACTGCGACGCTTGAGTGCCTTATGATTACAGCGGACATATAGAAAATGAAGCTTTTAAAGTATATTTATATTGCTACGTGCGTCATACAGACTGGTGCATGCCGTCTCACAATACACAAGCGTAACTTTTAAGCAATGAGCGTATCTTTAATTTAATTACGTTAAAAACCATATTATACTTAAATTGAGTCATATTTCAAGTATTTCACACCTTTTGCATTAGCGTACCTTCCATTATATCACTTGTAGTGTGCCTTTAGCCTACGCTAGCGGCTATGTATACATTAACTTATGTATATTTTATCAATTATATTATCATTTCTTGTAAGGTGACTAAAGCTGAGGGGCTGCTTTATTGCGCTACTAAATCATGGGGTCTTTTTTCAGATCAGATGGCACTTAAATGCTCCTTCATAATGTTTATTTTGATGTCAATATAATTTTGCTTGTTTTTATATTCATATCGCATTTGTAACATGTGTTATTAGAAGCTTTTTGGAGATGTATATTTTTATACAAGCGTACAATTTTACGGTGAAAACTTTTTAATGCATCGCTACATGACACGTGCTACAAATGTGAATCCGGCTTTAGCCAGCCTGCAGCGCGGTGCCTTATCTTAAGCCTATGTACTCCAAATATATTAAAATATATTTTTATATCGATTTATTAACTTTGCAGTTACATCAGTAACGGAGACGAAGCCGGTGGTAGACGTGAAGAAAGAGGTCTTCGAGGACACTGATGTGGTAAACATATTGAGGAGCGAAGAACCGAAAATGATACTGTTACAGGTAAAAAAGTATTTTTTTGCAAATAGGCTTTTATAAAGCGATTGTACCCTACATTTGATTCTGTCACTCTCAAGTGTGAAGTGGCTTTATTTAAATAATGGTATTATTTACTATTCAGCTGCCAGATTCGCTGCCGGGGCGCGGTGGTAGCACCGACGACGACGCGCCGCGCCGCAAGCGCGACGAGCCTTCCACGTCCAGCGGCGAGCCGCAGGAGGAGAAACCGGTACGTACCAAACACTGTCGAAAAAATCATCCCACACGGTATTAGTGCATGACCGTACTTACAGGGGCAACATCCTTTTTTTTGACGGAAAAAAAATACATTTATCGCGAAGGCAGAGCTTACCTTATGTAGGGCTCTCATTTAATGTGTAATCATTAATCAATAATCATGTACATTATACTAAAAAAATGCGACTTCCACTCCACATATAACTAAAATTTTAGTTTTTTTTGCAGGTGGACAACAGATGCAGATTAGAAAACTTGGAAGAAGGTCGGATAGGGAAGCTGAGGATCCATCAGTCTGGTCGCGTCACACTGGCATTAGGGGACACTATATTTGAGGTTTGTTACATTTCATTTAGTTCGTTCGTTCGTTTCAGCCAAATGACGTCCACTGCTGGACAAAGGCCTCCCCCAAGGTCCAATTACCACATTTCATTTACTTATTATAAACTGCATAATCTATTTTTAAGTATCTTTTTATTATTGTGTCCTTTCATAAAACAGGCCTCAATTTCGACAAATAGTGAAATGGTGAAAGCAACTGACGTTTTGAAGGTCAACATTTTAGTTGTAAAACAAATTGTTACCAGAATAGTAGCAATCATATCAGTCTGTCATTAATCTTAAAATTCGTCCAGTATTTGTGCAAATCTCTCAATTTAATGTCTATTCAGGTATGTTCTGGCACCAAAGCTTCATTCCACCAAGAGGTGGTGTCCATCGCAGCTGACGAGGCCTCCCGCTCTGCCAACCTGGTGGCCCTCGGTCCCTTGCAGCACAAACTGAACGTGGCTCCGGATTGGGAGACCATGTTTGCTCAGCTGCCTCTCTGACAGAAGGATGACAAGGAGTGAGAAGATGGAACAGTTCTGTGAACTTATTTATCCTATAACTCTGATAAAAAGACAGCTTAAAGGGACAGAAGTGAAGAACTTGTTGTGACAGTGTAAATAGTGCTAAGAGAATGCAGTGTAGTTTGCATCTCCTGGAATAATACAGAAACTGTTTATCTTGAAAAGTGATTCATAAATTGCGTTTTATACTTAAATAAGTCAGAATGGAGATAAAACTATTATTCTATAGCCAAATAAGACTTGAGTGGACAAATCATATTGGCATAACAAATTAAGATAATATTGCTGTTCATCAGAATCATTATGATTCTTACAATTTTTTTATTTTAGGTTGTATTTGGTTTACATCCCTCCATATTTGTTTGTATGAACAAATTATTACGTTGACTTATATTTTAATATATTATATTTGTACATACAATGATTTGTTTTATTTTGAATCCATAATTTGGCAAAATTAAACAAGATTAAAAATGTAAAAGAGGCCAAACAATAAAAGTTCACGAAGTTTTTGTAACATAATTATCTATTTAGTGCATAAAGTGGTAAATATTCTCTCAAGCAGATGTTGCAAGCTTTTGTTCTGGTTTCTTAGGAGGTACAGGTGTGTCTCTGCCTTGGAACTGGTTCCCTTGCAGGTCAATCGCAAAATTGTAGTCCACAGGGTTGGCAAGCGCATGGTCTATAGCTGCATCAAGGGTGTCTGGGGTGATGAATGTGCTACTTAGTTCCTGCAAGCAAAATATAAAAAGGTTAGAAATTATTATACATCATAACAAAATCACGTGCTGTCTCATTCACGTTTTTTAAATACTGTAGCCAAATGTTGCCAATTTCTATGAAATAAATTAATTCTATTATATTTTTTTATGCCTCTATTATATTATATTTTCGCCTGCATGGCTAGTGACTACACAGTTATACTAATTTTATTCCAACAATAAAGCAAGGAGTGTGTGCAATAGTTGATAGAGTAGTAGATTAGTATTGAAATTAACTCAGTATGTACCTTTTCTCTTCTAATTTGCTCAGAAGCTTTCTGGATTCTCTCTCTCAGCTCCCTGTCCTTGGCTTCCATCCTCATCAGTGCTGCCTCCTCCATCTTAACTAATTCCTGCTTCCGTCTCTCCTCACGCTCTAAGGCCACTTGAGCGTTCCATTTCTCGTTTAATTCCACACAGCGTTCCCATTCTTGCGCCTCCAAACGCAGAGACATTTCTGAACTCGCACTGTCTTTGGTCGACTTCTCTTTGATCATATCCTCATGGTAAAACCTCCGAATCGCACGCATCTGCGTCTTGTAATTATTGTTTATCCTTAGCAGCTCCAATCGCTCCTCCTCCGAGACTTCAGGGCGCTTTGGTATTCTGTAAATCTTACTTTTTGCTACTGGTACCCATCGAGGTTTCCTATGAGCTTCAGCGCACTGCACAATCATTGGCCATGTTCGCTTTAATAGCGATTGCTGGGAAATCATTTCTGTCTTTACCTCTAGTGTTATTTAATTAATATTTGTGAATATTTCAATTGATTTCAATTTAGCAAAACATAACCTCACTCACATGACAGTTGACTGATAGTTTTTTTTTCAGTTCTTTAATGACTGAGTTTGGATTAGAGCAAAATAGTTTAAGCCACTCTACCTACATGAGCTATGCAAAGATGTATGAGCTCGTTTCGTTTTTTAACCAACGAATTTCCGAACGAAAATGTCAAAGCTTGACAATTGCAAATGGACCGGTCCGCCGGTCGATGAACTTTTTTCTTCTGTTTTGTAAACTATTGTGATGTGATGGGCTAAAGCAGAACCAATCTTTTCATGCTCAGAAATCATCAAGATGATTAAAATAAGCGCCTTAAATGACGAGTCGGAGGACGAAAGCGGATCTGAACTGGAGGTGACCAAGGAGGCGTTAGAGCAGATCGCACTGCAGCAATACTCTAAAGCTTTGGATCTACAACGAAAAGGGAATCTCAAGGATGCTACGCAACTTCTGAAAGATCTACTGGACACAGAACTGTTGTACGATGTCCAAAAGCCAGCGCCCGGTGAGAAGGTCTCGGGACCTTTGTTTAATTTGAAGTATTTGTGTTACAAGAACCTTGCGGCTATGATGAGCTCTGCCGATGACATCGAAGGCGCTATAGAGGCGTTCATCGCCGCGTCGGACTTGGATGACACCGACATAACTCTTTGGCATCGGCTGGGGATGCTGTGTATGCGAGGCAAGCGCTACGAAATGGCTCTGCACGCGTTCCAGCGCGGCGCCGAACGAAACCCGCGCCACTGGCCCTGTCTCGACAAAATAGTCACGCTGTTACTCGGCTTAGACTTCAAAGAGGAATGCATCTCCACCATTTATGATACACTCCAACTTGATCCTGGCTATTTGAGAGGACTCGCTTACAGAAAACACATTTTCACTGTGTATCCATACATAAGAGATTTCATGGAGTACCTAAATCCAATTTATAAGTGGAGTGAGAAAGATGACGAACCAATAGATGAGGATAAGTCTAAACAGTTGCTGAAGGAGGCAGAGGAGATTCATGAAACGTTTCTAGAGCAGCAAAGAGCAGAGCAGTTCAAGTATGTGTTGCCTGATTTGAAGTTGAGGAAGCCGATTGCCAATCTGACGTGGCTTTCAGTTGGGGAATCTCTTGTGCACATGCATGAGTACATGACAGAAAACTGTTACAGTCACGCTTGTCGTATCGAACTTTTATTTGAACAAGAGACGAAGGAAGAACCAATGGAAGTAGTAGAGGAGGCTAAAGTCCAACAAGAGAAGTCAGAGTCAGAAGAAAACATAAAACCAGAGGAGTCAAACACAGATGCAAATTCCACTGAAAATAAAAATACAAAAAGTGCACCCGAATCTAAAAGTGCTGAAAATGTGTCAGAGAGTGAAAACAATGAGCTGTCAGATAAAGATAAAGCTGCAACTGATACTGAAAAAGTTGAGAGTGATGTGGAGATGGTCCCGAGTGAACTGGCTTCAGATGCTGCACCAGAGCCCAAAACAACTAAGAAAAACCCTGTACGTAGACGTGGCAGTGCACTCAGTTTTCTCCAGCAATGGGAATGGTGTTATAAACGCAGATCAGGCCGTAAAAAAGTCAATCGTCAAGATGATGAAAACATTTACGATATTTTGAGGAGCATGGTTCCTGTGTGTTTGTCTCCAGATATTGTCCAAAAGAGAGAAAATCAAGCTCAAAATGAGACAATAGAAACTGCAGATTTGGAAAAGCTTTTTGAAGAAAAAGAGAGCCCAGAAAAAAATACAGAAGAACTGTATTTTGGAACAGAGTCAGAGCAGAAAGATGTCAAGCAGTTTATTGATAAATATACAGAAAGTAAGAAAGACATTATTGATATATTAAAAGACTATTTAAGCATACTATCTGATAAGTGGAAGTTGCTGTGGCCAGAAGGATTATCAAAGACATTTATTTCAGCAAACAAATGCTATGACAATCATATTGATGTACCATCATGCACTAATGATAATCATCCAGAACTGGTGCATTATGCCAATGTCAATGTGTTGGTAGAGGAATTTACTGTCAATGAGAAACTCCAGTCCAATTCTGATGACAATAATACACATGACTTGAGTGTTATAGAAACTATAAGCATTATAATTAATATGAAGCCACATATTTTTTCCAGTGACAATTGTCTAGAACTAGTCCTGAGAACTCTCTGGGTGAAGCACCACATTCATATACTGAACAAATGCGAGGAATTTGCATTGGATTGTATGTATCAGTTAGCTTATGAGTTTGAAGCAATGGGAGAACATCATGACACATACAATTTGAACTTGATTAATTTCACATTCAAACCAATGATAAGTGAGGCTGAAATATTAGATTCTATCAAGTTTTTAGAAAGGAACAAAAAACTGTCAACTGTTATGGATTTGTATGACAGAGGGAACTATGAGGAAGTTCTATCTATAATAACAGATTCTTTTGAACATTGTAAGAATATGGCAAAGAAACAAGAAGAAGAAATGTCTTTAGATTTTGCTGTTCAGTTGGCTCTGATATTGGACACTTATTGGGCTCTCAACAAGGTGGACTGTTGCTTTAAGTGGGCCTTAATCTGTCTGCATGAGGCATTAAAACACTATTTTCGATACACTACTGGTTCCTCAGAGTATGATAAATGGACAACCACTGTTGTTAAAATACTCTACTGCATGGATCACATACTCACAACAGAGGGGTTATCCTGTTTAGAAACAATATCACCGAAAGAATTAAGCCAAGGTCTGGAAGACCTCATAAGAGTAATAGGGCATCAAGTGGAAACTAATGCTGCTGAGATGCCATTCGGAACTGTCATTCCCTGGATTATAATGCACTATATTTTACAAAGAGAGGAGGATCAGGGTAGAGGCAGGACTCCTGGCGATAAAGACAAAATTGCGTGTGACGAAGTGCCAAACCCATTGATGGTGTTGTTCGTAGCACATGAACAACTAGGAGGCAGAGGCTGGTGTTGTAATTCTGAAGGGAAACTTCTCTACTTCATCCTTGATACGGTCGTGCCGAGGCTGCGATCGCCCCTGTTGGCCAAATCATTGGAACAAGTTTGCCAGTACATGGAGCAATGTGTGTACTGTCTGTATGGCCACCCTGGAAGGAAGAACAAGTTGAAATATCTTGTTGATCATAATGTAACAGCACATACTTTGGATTGGCCAAGAGCGCAACAGATATACGAAATTTTTAGACCTATCACAATGCCTCTTTTAGAAGGGAAGGTGACACCGATTACAGTAGATATAGAACAATTGTTCCTTCGCATTTTGGCGCTGTTGCCATCTGAGTGCGACCCACAAAAGTATGTCCCTGAAATAGAAAAATATATTAAGGGCATTGAAGAGAAGCTACCCACTATTCCACCTCTTCTGCCATACAAAATGAAAGATATCTATTTCCTTCTTGGAGATTTTTATTTTAAGAAAGAAGATACTAAACAGTCTGTTAAATTCAATATGTTGGACGTTGTAGTAAATAACGATCGCTTGGAATCGTGGGCCGAGATATCTTTGGCTAAGAGTAATAATGTAGAGAGAATATTGAACTCTTGCAAGAATCTTAACAATGAAAGGGACTTTCTCAATCCTGCAAAGTGTATTATCAGATGCTACAAGCGCGCGTTGGAAATCAAACCTTCACACTGCAACATGTGGATTGAGTATGGCATTTTCGTGTATGCAGTTCACTCATTCTGCTCGAGGTTGCTAAAGCAGGCCAGCGAGTCTTTGAGTATGGAGAACTTTGAATCTTTAGAAAAACAAAAAGAGGAAATGCTTGACACTACGCGCAAATGTTTCATAACAGTATTAGGGGATTTAAATAACAGCACCACTGATGATGATTCTTGGCTTCCATACTACATATTGGGTAAAGAAGCAGAAAAAAGAAACAAACAACCCTCAGTCTACATGGAGTATTACATGCGAGGCGTCAAGAGCTTACAGGAAATCGGAGCGACGTACCCGCTTAAAATAAATTACAGCTCACCATCGCGTTTATGCATTGAGGTGTTGGAACTCCATTATAGGATTCACGCTTCGATTCTCAAGTATATCGAACAGCATGAAAATAAACCCATTCCGATATCTGTAGGGAAAGTATTCACAAGTTGCATCGAAGCGTGGAAGAAAGGGCCTTTCTCGAAGAAACCTAAAAAAGATGGCGTCGAAACAGATACCGAGTCAAAACCTGCTGAAGCCGTGCATGCGGCGAATATCCTCAAACGCTCAGTCAGCGACGCGGGCGAGGAGGAGACTCACGAAGCGAAAAGGCTTAAGTTGGAATCGGCCGCCGCTAAAGTTAGGAGATCTGCCTCGTACGACACCGAACGACTGTCACAAAAAGAAACAACGGTTATCGCTTCTACAGAAGGAGCTACCGAAACTAATAAATCTGCCGAAGAAGTCGCTCCACCGTCTGATACAGTAATCGTTAATGCTACAAAGGAAGATTTGCCAAATGCGTCAGAAGTCAAGCCGACAGAAGACGCAACAAAAGAAAGTACCGAAAAAGCCGTAGAGAAGAAAGACAGTGATACAGAGAAAAAAGGCGAGAGTTCCAGCAGCACATCGTCTTCATCTTCGTCGGACTCTAGTTCCTCCGATACGACAAGCAGCAGCAGCACCGATTCGAGCAGCACCACCTCAAGTAAATCCTCCAACGACGCCAAGTTTCTGACAGACGAAGAAATCATGAAAATAGTAGGCGCCTGTCTAGACGCCCTAGAAGACTGCGCTAGTCGCTTCCCCCCACACTACAAAGCCATTTACAGGCTCGCCCATTACCACTTTTACTACAAAAAAGGGAAAGACATAGAGAGGTGTCGGGACTTGATGCTGTCAAACTTCACGTCCAGGGCGGGTCAGAAGTTGGCGGGGCTCTTCAGCGAGAAGAAACATTCGAACTTCTTCAATAACATTTGGAAAATACCGCACACCGAAGTCGACAGAGCAGGCAGCTTCGCGTTCCACATGAGCCGCTCCGTGCAGCTAACCATGGAGATACTGAAAGAAATAGATGACCACAAAACTTTACTGGACCTCAGCGTGAATCTGCAACGGACACCTGAACTCGACAAGAAATACCTGCGCGACTCCGACAGGGAAGAATTGGCTCAACAAGCTTTCTTGCTCTGCGTTCAGTCGCTGAAGGGCCAGGTGACGAAGTTCAGCCAGCAGGACGACTTGAGAAGCAACGACGTCGAGAAACAGGCGCTCAAGAGTTTGACCCTCGACATCTACAGAGCGTACCAGCGCGTGCAGAAGCAGGCGAATTCAAAGCAACTCACGAACCTGTTGATCGAGGCCTACAAGCTGGTCTGCACGACGCCGATCACGGAGAACATGAATCTGGTCGACCTGAGCATGAAGTACTGCCAGGCGTTGATCCAGGAGCGCAAGCAGCAGGCGACGCAGGCCAGCCTGGACAAGAGTCAGGCCCAGAAGAAGCAGGCGCCGAAGCCCGCGGAGGTCGCGAAGCCCGCCGTAATTGTGACCACGAACCCGCCCAAAGTGGACCCCAAGCCGGCGGTACCAGCGTCCGCGTCAGGCCTGCCCAAGATCTCGCCGCACGACATATCCGCCGCGTTCCAAAACTACCTGCCGATGCTGAACGACCCGGTCATGTCGCAGCAGGCGGCGGCCGCGCTGTCGCTCACGTACCTCAGCAACGCGCTGTCCGGCTACGGCTACCAGAACACGCTGCAGACAACTCTGCAGAACTCCTTCCAGGCGGAGTACTACCGCCAGCTGATGGGCCTGTCGTCCTTCGGGATGCCGCCGCAGAAGAAGCAGAAGCGCGGGCCGAAGCCCGGCGCGCCCCGAGCGGCGGCGCCGAGCAAGGCCAAGTCCTTCGCGGGCTCGGCGGCGCCGCCCGTGGCCAAAGTGGCGCCTCAAGTGGCTAAAGTGGCGCCGCAAGTGGCTAAAGCCGCGCCGACGCCGGTAATTACCAGTCTTCAAAAGGCCGCGTCGGCGACTTTGGCGCCGAGCATGGGGACTGTGTTGCCGACTCTGCCGGCGTCGATGACCGCGAATTTATCTTCTTTTGGAGCGTCTCACTCTGCGCATAGCAGTGCCCCGGCGCACGCGCACTTACCCTCATCGCTAACGAGCACGACGCTACACTCCAAGCCGCCGCTTCCTCACCAGCAGGTGAGCCCAGGCAAAACGCTGCAAGAGAAACTGGCAGAGCGGCAGAAGCATACGAAATCTTCTGCCCAGGATATAACAGCGTCCATCAGCAAGCTTCCTTCGTCCCTGACCATCACCAAGATGTCGGTATCGAAGCCGCCGGTGGTGCAAGGCAAGAAGCCCGAGGTCAAAAAGTCCTTGTCGTTCACTGAACCGCGCCCGAAACAGATCTCTACTGACGAAGTTATTGTACTCGACGACGATGATTAGATTTAAAATAATCAATTGTATGTAATAATTAGGAGTGTCAAATATAATCGAAATTAAAAATCATAATGCATTTCATTTAAAATTTTAATACAAAATATTAAATTAATATTATTTACATAATATGGTAAATCTATAAAACTTAATTGCTAACAGTTACATCAGTTATACGCCTTACCCGAAACTTATTGCCTTAAAGATTTAAATATTAATTAAATAAAAATATTTTTAATAATGTTCCCGCTTGTAATCGGAATAATAATAGGAAATAGTTGACTATTCGCCAACCAAAGCGAATTTATACTTAGTGCTTAAGATACGCTTAACTGCTTTTAAGCTCAATGTACTCTGTCAGTCACCCACACAAAGGAACACACATCTGATAGATTCACTGCTCAAAAATATCGTGAGATTAGAATACATAATATTTTGAAAATTAGTGTTTTTTGTAATTTTTAGTGGCGGTAGTTAGGTCATGAGCAGCGGTTGATTTAATAAAGGGTGTTCGATTTCAGCCCTCTGGTGGTGGCGTGGTGGTCATACGATGACCACGTGGCGGCCACTTGGTGGCGTGGTGGTCACGTGGCGGCCACTTGGTGGCGTGGTGGCCACGTGGCGGCCACTTGGTGGCGTGGTGGCCACTTGGTAGTGTGGTAGTCATACGATGACCACGTGGCGGCCACTTGGTAGCGTGGTGGTCATACGATGACCAGGTGGCGGCCACTTGGTAGCGTGGTGTTCACGTGGTGGCCACTTGGTAGCGTGGTGGTCATACGATGACCACGTGGCGGCCACTTGGTGGCGTTGTGGTCGCGTAGCGGCATGTTCGTCACGTATTGGTGTGGTGGTCACATGGTGGCGTGGTGGTTGCGTGGTCGCCTATAACACCCGGTAGTGGTAGAAGGTCATGAGCATGCGGCTGAGGTTCCAGCCGGCAGTAAGCGAGCCCACAAACAGCAGCGCCAATACCGGCAACGGGAGTAGGAAGGCTCGCACGTTCTGCAGCGTCGGGATATCTGTCCAAAACATTATCATCATCATCATCAGGAGCACAAACCTCTCAAGTCTCGTCACTTGCCTCTCTAACTGACGTATCTGACATTTTTTTCGAAACTGAGTTATCTACACCATCTTAATCAATTTCGCAAGACGAATCGATCTGTCTAATCGCCTGAAAATTTTGCAAAATGTCAGTTTACGTCAGTTAGAGAAGCAAGCGACGGTCTGGTCGCCGAACACGTAAAATTTCGTCCAATGACCCTGTTAAAAACGATGGAGTGGACTGTATTAGGCCTGCCGGTGGTGATTATAGGTATGCTAGAAGCAAGGAAACACTAAAAAAAGGGCCAAAACAGTAGGTATTTGCTCAAAACATTAAGAACACGAGAGTGTACAAAAAGCAACTTCAAAATCAATCAATCTAAAACAATATTTAAAAAAGTTAAAAACCATAAACAATATATAAAAAAGGATTGCTGGCCAAACTGCCAGCAACAGACCCCTAGCTACCCATCCTATTGCTCGCGCGTAAATATTGCTGTCGCGACTGTGCGACGGGCAATCTAAGTAAGTGTGCGAGTACGAAATTCTATCTGCTCGGCGACCGGACTTTAATTTAGGTACTAGAGGAGGAAAATTGAGGGATATTACACTTCCCAGTGCCCGTGATGGTCATTTCAATAGCTCAGTAGCTCAGTGGTCAAAGCAGGCTCTTAGGAAGCGCAAGTTTGTATCAACTTGAAACTAGTAAGCTTACTAACATTACTTCTTGTAAAAAAACATGTCAACTGATGGTTACTTTAAAAACCACCTATTGCATGAAAGGCGACTGCTTTGACCGCTAAGCTACTGAAATTGGTTAAACTATCGCATTTTTCACTGGCTTGTAGTCTTAAAAATAGCTAAAAAAAACTAGCCATTATACCCACATCAAAGTGTGTGGAAAATTACACTTGAATCAAACCCCAAAGGAATAGGTGCTGTAATGGCATTTTAAAAAATAAGCATCGTAAAAAACGACAGTCAAATGTCGGTTTTACGATAACATAAATAAACGATTAAATGAAGGAAAGAATCCGATTTTTTTTTGAAAAATCACACAGGCAGACAGTTTCTTGAAAAGTTACACAGTCCCCGAGAAATGCGCGAGTCCCTTTTGGATTTAATTAAGAAACAAAACAGAGTGGAGTCCCAAAGGATTAAAAGGATGTTGAAAAGTTGAAATATAAAGTTTAGTCAAGACAAGTAAATAAATAAATAATAAATCCACGCTATTCGCTTAATTTCACGGTATTTTATACCCGGTTTAGTAGTAGTGCAACTCAGTGCAAAATACAATAACAGTTAGTGACTTTAATTATTTAACCACTCATACACTCACCAGAGTCGATTACTTTGCCGTAATCTGAAATTTTAATGGTTAGTATCTCAATTTGATTACGGTTACGGCAGGGAAATATCAAAGAATATCGCGCATATCTCGTTAACTGTTTTCAAAACGTCACATTTATTATAATAAATAAGATCTTCAATGATTATAGATTGTGTAATCACGAAGACGCGCTCCACCAATTTTTGGTCTCGGTCGCGCGGGGTGCGGGGAGTGTGGTCCGAGCAATCCGTAAGGCATTATTGTAGTGTGCGTGTGCACTCATGGATAATTTAGCGTGTACCGATAACACTCAAACATTAGCAGAAGAATGGTGGGGCGCGCCTTCGTGAATGACACAATCTATCTGATGATAACCAACCCCATTAATTTAGCCCGGCGAGATTGGAGTCATCAACTTCTGGGTCAGACAAGCATCATAAAATTTTGCCCAAGACGTTACAAATATGAATACTGTAATAATATTAACTCTATTGACATGGGGAGTAATTTCCGAAATCGGATAAGTAGAATCTTACGGGTTGGTTACTTTACTGTTGAATAGTAGGTTCTATAGGATTATTAATGACTCACTGCTGTATCCCAGAAAGGTGATGTACAAGTAGTAGACGATGGAGGCCAGCCAGAAGGAGTTGGACACCAGGCACGACAGGAACCCGTCGTGGTTCAGTAGACCTGAAAATATTTTGAAGATTATCTTAAACATTATTTTTTAATTAAAAAAAATGCCTTAGGTGGGAACTTAAACCTTTACGCCTGTATTTACAAACGATGCTTGCAAAAGTGAAGCAGCAAATCGAACGCACAGCGTTGAATAAAGCTCTGTGATTGGTTCGTGACACCCTGTACGTCCACGCGCTCCGTGAGACCTCATCGTAATATTTCTGAATACGGGCGTCAGTTATGTACTCTCCTAAGGTAGGTACTTTTTACCACTGAGCTACTTTGTTAAGCTAATCAATTAGGTATTTTACGGTTGACACCATTAACTAATAGACAAAACTTTCTAAAAATACTTACAATCTAACCCTGAAAACCAATGTATTTTTTTAGTTTTGAAATAAATTAAATTCACGAACTAATAACGTCATTTTCCCTAGGAGCGTCACGTTTGGAGAGGTCGTGTAAGTATAAAGTACACAGCGCTTTCACATTTAGGCGACTAGCAGCGCGACAGACGTGCTCCCGATAATTTAACTGTGTGACAGCGGATGCCTGCCTTCACGTCATTATAAAAAACGCCGCTGCCGCGCTTCTCACGCCCTAATGTGACTACTGTGACCTACGTAATTAGATTTTGTGAGAAGTTGGGGTTTAATATTGTTCATGATGTGTATTTTGTTTGGTCGGCCGTTTGGTGTAGTGGTTCGAAACGGACAACTATTCCGGAGGTAGCGGGTTCGATTCCCGCACAGTACAAACATTTGTGTGCATGAACATATTTGTTTGTATTGGACTGGGTGTTTTCTATGTATAATAAGTATGTATTTACAAAAAAAAAAGTATTTAAGTATGTTTAAATCCGTTGTCTAGTACCCATAGTACAAGCTTTGCTTAGTTTGGGACTAGAAGCGCAGTGTAAAATGTCCAAGGATATTTATTTATTATTTATTTTATAATTTAAATGCTATAAAGTTTTCAAGGTGGACTGACGATATCATAAAGGTAGCACGAAGGCCGCTACCAACCGGGCAACATGTAAAGCATTGGGGGAGGCCTATGTTCAGCAGTGGACGTCCTATGGCTGAGATGATGATGATGAAAGTTTTAAACAAATAAATAAATAGCTCACTGTTGAACAGCACGATCTGGAAGCAGTGCAGCAGCGACAGCGGCGGGAAGAAGGCGTTGATGTGCACGTCGAAGGCGTAGCCCCACTCCACGTCCGGCCCGTCGCGGTCGCGTCGCAGGTACTTATTGCTGATGTACCTGATAACACAATAATTATGTAAATATAGTATAATGTAAATTGTTTGCAGTCTGCAAATATCACATCGTTCGTTTCAGCCGAAAGACGTCCACTGCTGGACAAAGGCCTCCCCCAAGGATTTCCGGGATTTCACCAGATCGTCGGTCCACCTAATGGGAGGCCTGCCTACGCTACGTCTTCCGGCTCGTGGTCCTGCCCCAGCGGCCGTCAGCTCTACGATCTATGTGCTCTGCCCACTGCCACTTGATTTTAGCGATTCTGCGGGCTATGTCAGTCACTCTGGTTCTCCTACGGATCTCCTCATTTCTGATTCGATCACGCAGGGCAACTCCGAGCATAGCACGCTCCATCGCCCTTTGGGTGACCTTGAGCCTTCTTATGAGGCCCATAGTAAGCGACCATGTCTCAGAACTGTATACCTAAATAATAAATATCACATAGACTAGCATATTTACATTGTTCGTTAATTTCAGCCAAATGACGACCACTGCTGGACAAAGGCTCTTCCCGCGACCTTCACTACATCGTCGGTCCACTTAGTGAGAGGTCTGCCCATGCTACGTCCTCCATGCATTTTTACATGTCCCAGTATAATTTTTACCCTACTACCACAAGTGCTATGAATGCTGCTGCACTGCACAGTACAGAATGACCACAGTCAAATAGCTGGGTTCATACTGGATGATCTACCACGAAACATCGCGCGCGACCGATCGAGCAAGTGACTAACAAATTACTGATTTCAAAGTTACAAAAAAACTAATCTCAAAACATTGAAAGGAAACTTGATTTTCAGGGAAATAAATAATAGTTCAATGTAAAACTTTGAAATCTACTACCTCAGGTGGAAGAACCCTGTCTGAACACTGAGCTACCCTAACATAACTACTAGTAGACTTACCAAAATATTGTGGAGACAAGTATCCCAGCTCCGATGAAGTCTACGAACACTACAAATAGCACAAACAGGGCCACTTGTGTCCAGCTGAGCCCCATGCCCAGTGCAAAGCATATTGATGACACTGGAATTCGTACAAAAAATTTTTAAAACTAATTCTTAATAATGTATAATAACGGGATAAGGCAAGGCAGAAGGAAAAAAGATTATCTTAAAACCACTTGCATTTCAGGTAAGTACAAGAAAACCATTATCATCTTTTTTCTATGAAGAACTACAGTTTTCGTTTATTGCTACTTTAGGTCAAAGATTCATTAGATATCATACAACAAAATCAAAATTTTGGTGTGATACACTATTCTATCTATATACAGTGTGTCCGGGCATGTAGTGATCAAACTTTAAGGGCGTAATCTATGGACAATTTTATCGGTGAAAATACTTTAAATTTGGGGCTTGACCCATTTCTCGCATATTTACAAGGATTTAAGTTTTTAATTTTCAGTATTCACCTCTTCCTTCAAAAACTAGTGTTAGCGTGGGTAACTAAACATTAATAAGCAAATATTTTATATCATGCGATAGCCAATAAAATTATCTTTTAGTAGAAGTAGAAAACAGACACAAGTTTCATACATTTTAAGTGAGTAAGAATGGATTTAATTAGAAATAAACATGATTTTTTTCACACCTTTTTCAGTTATTTCCCAACACAAGAAAAACCAGGTCGTTAAGGTATGTTTTCATTGCATTGTATTATTAGTATTTGAGCCATTCTACAAAACGAATGTAAATTTATTAGTCTACGTCTATCAGTTTTGACGTAATTGTTGAACAAAGATACCCCTTCCCAGCGGTTTCCATAGCGCACGCGACATGCGAAAATGCACTGCCTGAAAGAATCACACAACCTATTCCAGTTACTATGGAAACCGCTGGGAATGGGTATCTCTGTTCAACAATTACGTCGAAACTAATAGACGTAGACTAATAAATTTACATTCGTTTTGTAGAATGGCTCAAATACTAATAATATTTTAGTTATATTAATAGATTTTAGTCATAATACATACTCGTATACATGGATGATTGTGTTATACTTTTATTATAATACTTAGTGGAATTACTGCTTTCAAAACGTGAATTAGATCTGGCCCCATAGCAGACATTTTCCTACATCTAAAGGCCTTTTAAAATATATATTGGTTATGGCTATTGGAGCGGGTACCACTTTCCATACATTTGTGCCCATCATCCTTTCTTTTCTGCTCAACCCAAAGGTAAACTGGTCGAGAATGCTCTAGTGCATTAAGTTCGCCTTATGTACAAATTTATTTTGGCATTAAAGTTTAAATAAATAAATCGCATTGATAGCAGTGGTCAGTGTCAAACTTTTGAATCATTGTCTGTTTAGATTTTGGGCACTTTGCAGTGGCTATTTATTTAATACTTGCGAAAACAAGTATTATTTGTCCTTTTTGGATCCCTTAGATTTTTTTTCTAATCCTGACGTATTCCCACTATAGTCTATCCAATATAGCTTGATTAGAATGACAGCTGCCATCAAAAGTAACGACATAACTTTGTAGTAGCGATCAATGAGAGCTAAATATTGGCGGACAAGAAATAATTCACGTCTGACCTACAAACAATATTTTCGACGACAGTGCTTCCAATAAAAATGTTAATTTCGTGTAAATGCAGCGTTAAATTACACCAATAAGTAGTAATTCGAAATTATAAAAATCAAGCTAGAGTATTAACGACGTCTCTACAAGGTTATCTCGAGTTACAAAAATGTTAGTGTTGGGACATATCGACAAATGTCATATTAAATTAAAACTAATTTTTTAACATATTCAACAATTTTTTTTTCTAACTAATTTTTTAACATATTTAAGTCAAGTTATACGNGCCATTAAGGCGGAACAAAGTTCGCCGGGTCAGCTAGTTAGTCATAGAAAAGAATCTAACAAAATGGTAAAAAGATAAGAATGGAAGGTTGTTGACCTAGATATTTTAAGAATCAAGAAAGTTATGTTTTCTTGTAATTCATACATGTTGTGGGTACTTACAAAATAGCCAGATACATAAAAGTACCAGGAACGCTGGATCATCTCTTGCAAACTGTGATTTTGTATCTGAAAATTGATGATATACAAAATTATGTATAGTTTAGACGATGACAAATGGATATGACATTATAAGCATGTTGTTGATTAAATAATTGCACAAGAGATCTGCAACTTTATTTATTTAATACTTGGAGCGTTTTCATACAGAGTATAAAATCAAATAAATTCACACACAGTTTCATAAAATTGTTCTTTTCCTTGAGCTTACTTACAAAATACTCACGTTTTCTATAATTGAAGTTCCTAAACACTTTTTGTGGTGCCACGAACAAATAGACCATTTGCCAGGCCGCAAACTCGAAGTCCATTTGGTTGAACTTGAACAGTCTTCTCAAGTACTTGTATCGCTTCACGGCTGCACTGGCCGTCGTCGGCTGGTAGTTAGCAGGCGCTGGGAGCGGAGACGTGCTCCTTGGATAATTACTAAGGCTTGGAGTCGGTGATGTAGAGTACTTCATGATTACTTCTATTTCTAGGTTACATTAAAGATTTAATTTACAATAACTGTTATTGGCACTTGGACGCGAAGTGGATAACGATTCTGGTTCGCTATTTCACTCTGTTGCTGTTTATTTACGAACATGAAATTAATTTGCAATAAAATTACTCAGCTCGGTGATGATGACAATCACGAAGACAAATGTTTATCTGTCACTGTCAGTTTTGTGACATTGACATTTTAGTGTTACGTTCGGGAAGTTGCTAAAAGCGCAGAGGGTCGTCGATTGAGCTCATGTTGGTATAGCTCATTTGTGGATATCGCTCACAATTTGCGCTTATGAATTTTATAAAATCTTTTTGTCTAGAAAACCACAAATATTGATTTTAAGCTGCTCACTATTGGAGTGTGAGTGTGGTTAAACAAGGTAAAACAAACACACTAGCAATTTTCTGTGGCAACACGCTATAGCCACGGTAATACTAGTATTACCGTGCTATAGCAGTTGTGACGTACTCTCCTGCATACAGGAAGGCGGGAATTTTAAATAAAAATCGTCTTTGTCGTTAAATATTGTAATGTTCAACATAATTTATACTTATTTTACAAATGTATAAAACTAGAAGAATATTTATTTGTAATTTATTTAACTTAGAATTATCTTTTTCGTTGCATGTTACGAGTAAAAATTTCATCAAGTAGTTAAAAGTTAGTTAAGTTTAAGTTATTTTTAAATTATTGCAGTCATTGTTTTATCACAAGTACTTATCAAAGTAATAAATAACCCAAATCCAAAAAATATAAGTTAAAATAAGTTAAGAACAACGCCACTATAACATGAAAAATATGGCAATGAACGTTATAGTCATCGTAAGAACTAACATGGAATAATGTGTTCTGTAATAGATTTGGTAACTGAACAAATTAATAAAGATTTGTAAATTTTCGTTGAATCCCATTTTTGGAAGGATAATTATGGGGGCATCGTTTCATACAAAGGTCGCAAACCCCGTAGACAATCTGTGGCCATGTGAAAATACCTTAGATCGAGTTTCTTTGACACCCACCCTATTACAACCTTATTCCTTTTGAGAAGGCACGAGTGTCTCGTACACGTACCTATATTTTCAGAAGATAAAACCAGGAGAAAGGTTTCGAGATATAACAGGTCTATACAAATACATTTTCGACTGTTTGCAGAATCGGAGTCGAATAATGTAATAGGTACTAATAGGTATCGATCACCTCGACTAAAGTTCATCCTTTTATTTTTAGTCGACTCATAAGTTTGCCAGTTTATATCAATTTATTTGACCTGTGCTAACACACGATGGGTGTATGCAATCCCAAAGTAAAATATTTTCAGTTTGAGCATGTTCATCTTACTCAAGTTCATACTTGATTACAAGTTGAGCACATCCAAGCAAAAAATTTTAATACAGAAACCTACAGTCTATTTTTTTTTTTTTTCTTCTTTCTGGCTCTCGCGGATTGCGTTTAGCCACGACAGGGTTCTTGATCTTGAGTTTTGCGTTTGCGTATGTTTTGCGTTTGGTTTTGCGGACATTGCGTTTGGACAGGGTGGGATTAGGTTAAAAGGTAGGGAAACGAATTATTAAAAATTACGGAAGGAAACGGAACAAAAGGATTATTTGATAGGATCATTGTTTATAGCGGATAAGGATAACAAAAGCAAGTATTTACATATTAAAAAATAAAATATATACACTATTTACAACTTAATATTATTATGAGTAATATATGCAGCTAGAATATTATAGATATTACAATCATTAGAATTTAAGAGGCAAGTGATAGAGGTAGGGAAAGGAACATGGATGGATAAAAGTGAGTTAATAAAAGAGGAACGGTCATAAAGGCAACAATTAAAAAATATGTGGTTCATATCTCCCACATCAGACCCACAGGAACACATATCACTGTCTATAACATGAATTTTGGCCAAGTGTGCTGGAGTGCACAAATGTCCAAGTCTCATTCTTGTCAAAGTAGTAGTAACCCTTTTTGAAAGATTCATTTTAGCAAACCATGGCTTAAAAGGAATAGATGGTTGAATAAGCTTATAATGCTTCCCCTTAGATTGACTAGTCACTTCCCAATTCTCCTCCCAGGCAGACCTGAGATAAGTTTTGGGAAGGGCTGCTGTTAAATCATGGCAATAATTAGTATAAGGATAAATATCTCCACATTCAATCGCTTCATTGGCTAGTTTATCGGCTTTATCGTTTCCTGTAATGTTACTATGACTAGGAATCCACGCAAAATGTATTGAATAACCGTTTAAATGACATTTATATAATAATTGTCTGCATTCCATGATAACAGGATAACTGGTATTACTCTTAAACGGAAATTTTAATAATGCTTGCAAAGCACTTTTAGAATCGGAAAAAATAATAGTTTTGTCTAATTTCATAAGAAGCGCATACTCTAAGGATTTAAATATTCCAAAACATTCCCCTGTAAAAACAGACGACTCAGGAGGAAGTTTAACTTGTTGTAAAATTCGGTATTGTTGATGGAATACGCCAACTCCAACGTGACCCGTTGGTGAGTGTTTAGATGCATCGCAGTAAAGATGATGCCAATCATGCCAGTTCTCATCTAATATCTGTCTAAATTTAATATCAGCATTGTGATCATCCTTGTTTACGTCTAAATTAAGATGTACTGTCGGAGCAAGAATCAGGGACTCAAAACTAACAGAAAAAAGCGGAAGGAAGCACGATCTGTGTACAGGGGCTTGAATGGATATAAATTTGCGATAACTTATAACTAAGCAAGGTGGAGATTTGCGAGACCAATAAGAAGAAGTATCAACTAAACCGGATAATCTGTTAAGTTTACTGTATATTGGATGATTTGATTGTTGAAGAACGCGAAATAGATATTTGTCGCATAAATATTGGCGACGTAATCTCAACGGTGGCTCAACACATTCCGTTTGGAGGGCATTGATCGGACTCGATTTCATAGCACCAGCCACAATCCGAAGTGCTTTAGATTGGATTGCATCCAATTTATTTAAACCGACTAAATTACATGGTTCTAGGAAAAAACTACCGTAGTCTAATACACTTCTTATGATTGCATTGTACAATAGTCTTAGTGAGGCTGGATGGGCACCCCACCAGACTCCAGAAACACAGAACGATTTCTCGATAGGATCGCACACCAGTGTTGCCAGTCGGGTCTTGTCAGAAATAACCAGAAACATAAAAAAGTAACCTTTTTGAAATGAATACAATTGATCATCAATCGTTTACCATTTACCGAAATTTTGACCATTCCATGACTGAAAAGTGACCGGTCGTATAAAAACGTTTCATGGATTTGCGTTTTATTATCGAAAAACATTCACTAAAACTCATTTTTTTAAACAAATAATGAATCAAATTCATGTTTAAATGCAGTTTGACATGATTTTTAAATTGTCACTCTATTAATATTTTTTACTGAATAACCTGTAAAAGTTAATTCTACAATTTCTGAAAAATCACCTAAAAGTAACCTTTTCATTAGTGTAACCTAAAAGTAACCAATGCAGTTCAAAAGTAACCTAAAAGGTTACAAAAGTAACCTTCTGGCAACACTGTCGCACACAGCTACTCAGTGATTAATTGTCATCTGACGTTTAATCACTTGAACCAAACTTCAAAATAAATAACCGCGAATACCGCGGAGGCAACGATTGAATACGCATAGAAATGAAATCAAAACAAAATTGGGCGGTTAACACGTGAATACCAAAAGTAACTGATAAGTGAATATATGGCTACTGACGCTACTGTGGGTCTAGTCCATGAAGCCAAAGATAAAAATGGAGGCCAGACTTGGAACAAAAACTTGAGTCAAATACCTTATCTCTATGTCGCTCTCTGTGGGCCGACCTCTCTTTTTAGTGTGGACTGTAGTATTGCTATCTCCTGATTTAAATCTACTATATTCTATCCAATATAGCTTGATTAGAATGACAGCTGCCATCAAAAGTAACGACATAACTTTGTAGTAGCGATCAATGAGAGCTAAATATTGGCGGACAAGAAATAATTCACGTCTGACCTACAAACAATATTTTCGACGACAGTGCTTCCAATAAAAAATAATGTGAATTTCGTGTAAATGCAGCGTTAAATTACACCAATAAGTAGTAATTTGAAATTATAAAAATCAAGCTAGAGTATTAACGACGTCTCTACAAGGTTATCTCGAGTTACAAAAATGTTAGTGATGGGACATATCGACAAATGTCATATTAAATTAAAACTATTTTTTTAACATATTTAACAAATTTTTTTTCTCACTAATTTTTTGACATGACTTAAATATTATTTAAGTCAAGTTATACGTTTTTCTAAATGTTCACTATTAAAAACCAAAAAACATTTCATTCTTAAATAATCAAACATTGGAAATCAATCGCCGGTATTTTTTTGGGTATTCATAGCACCGTTGCTCTAGAAGAGATGCCCACCGCCCTCTAGTGAGAGGAAAAAAACACTGAAGAACACTGATGATAATGACTACGACTTAGGTTGTAAACCCTTGACATGAATTTTAAATTTTATTGTCTTTAATTAATTTAAATTATAATTGTCATTTTTATGAATAAAGATATGAAGAAAAATTGGGTGCATTTTTTTAATCATTTTTTCGAAAACTTATCGATACATCTATGTGAACCGTACGAAACATACCCAGCACTAGTCACATTCATTTGATAGCTATCATTCTAATCAAGCTATATTGGATAGACTATAGTAAATTCTTCGAAATAGCCAATTCACTAACCAAATCAGAAGTTAAACAAATAAATAATTAAATATTTGAACTACGATTACCTAGTTAAATCATAATTTATATTTTTTGTTTATTTAGAAAGAGAGAGTCTGCCCACAGAGAGCGAGATAGTCATACACACGAGAATCAAACGGTAGAATAGAGAGAGGGACGCGCGGAGAGTGCGGAGACGATTCATCACGATTCCGCGCGCTCTTGTGCTAAGTGATGAATTGTATCATAGAGAAAAGTAATACATAATTGTATCATAAATAAGGTAACATAATGTGAAAGATGAATAACCAGTGTTTTATTTAAGAGAATAGATCTACCGGCCACTATTAGTTCTGAAGTGGGATCTGAAACCTATGATAGTAACGTATTTTCAAAGTGTTCCAGGTGACCAATGTTTCGTGTTGTTTGTCATGAATGTTAACACAAAACGCCCACGATTCTATGATTGTAATTGAATATGATGAAGAGAGAATGTCAAGGAAACCACGCTGACAACTGTGTGAGATGCTTAGGTGAGATGCAGAAAAGTATTTAAGTTCGAGAAATGATGGACGCAAATTAAGAAGAATCCCTCCGTAACTTGGCTAGTGGTCACGTAAGTGGTGAACAATTTGACTAACGATAGCCCCAGAGCAGGTACGATTTATTATTATTATCGATTATTCCAACAGCAACAATATTAACACATTTCCTTTTTGAGCAAAATAATGCATGGAAGTGAATGATGTAACAAAGGTTCTGTGTATTTTCAGTCTTTACTATGAATGCCAGGAATGTATGTGTAAGCTATGGTATGTGCTCACTTTATTTCAATGCCTAATAAGCTATTTTATTAAAGCAAATTAAATTGAACGGTGTTCATTTGGCCATGTTCACATTCTGCGAAGAATAATCTGATAAGATTTCAAATCTATAAAGAATAGATATAATATGGTCAGATTAATTAAATAACTTTGGTAATTATGCCCGAGTAACCTCTTGGCATTATTTTGGAGAACAATTAATAATTAGTTTTATTCAAGTAAATTGAAGCTAAGGTCTGTGTTGTGTAAACCAGTTCTAGTATTGTGATGTTTCTTTCTTAATGTTGAGTAAGTACCTACTACAAGATGAGATAGGTAACTTAAAACATTTTGCTAATTGAAATTAAGTAAAGCAGCCAGATACACCATTGAACATGTGGTACATTTTTGGTATTCTTATAATGGTTGATACTTCAATTAATTGTTAAACATAATTATTGTGTACTCCTGGTTACTGTAGATGCAAGATACATTATGTTACATGATGCTATTTTGAGTATTTTGAGTAAAGATAATGTTATTAATATTGAATTTCTCCAACTTATCAATTAATTTCTACTGCCAGTAGTCATTTGGGTTGTATTACTAAAATTGAAACTTAGTGTGGGTGAATAAAATTTATCTAATTATAATAATTATTAAAAAAAAAAAGATATAGAATGTAGTACATTTAACTTTAAGGGTATTCTTGTGTACCAGCCATTTATTGTTGGTTATTCTCACATGGTGAAAATGCTTTTAATGTTCAGGTTATTTATTAACTGTTTAATAAAAAGGTTGTAGCATGCTGAGTGTGCATGTTTTTAGATTTGACTTGAGTTTTAGATGTGGTTACCTATCTGTCTGCGGGTTGGCCCTGTGGTGAGAAAATCAATCATGCACAATACTAGAGTGAAGTTGAACTCTGAGCAAGGGTGCTCCACATAAGTGATTTGGAGTTGGACAGAAGGTAATACAATACAAAGGGCATCAGCTGTGATATTTGGTGAGTTGAATTAATGTTTTATTGCAAGGGTTGAGCTGAGACTAGCAGTGACACTGCGGCTTGGTTGTTTAACTGTGCTTATTCTTGTCATTGTCATGAAATTGCATACAATTAACTTGAGTCTGAACAGATTTTAATATATTATAATTGGCTACAGTCTACTGCTAGACTTCAGAACTTCCCAATTGCCGCTAACAGTCTTAAGCAAAAAGTTATTATTAATAATGGTGAATAAGAGAGTGATGTGTTTGAATAGAAATAAATGCTTATCAATGGTCATTAGCATTGGCCTATTGTGTGGTATACTGCTGTACTGTGCGAAAGTTAGCTATTTACCCGACTGCGCCAGAAGGAGGGTTATGTTTTTGAATAATGGTATCAATGGAGCAAAGTACTAGCAGTAGGTAATCAAATAAGTTTATATTGGTGATGGTTGTGTTGTGTGCTTCCCGGTAATGACTGGGTTAACAACAGATACTTGGATATGAAGTCAGTTGCATTGTGGGTGAATTTTGGCCAAGCATGAGAAGAGAAGTATTGTACTTGTTAAATTAAAGTTCTTGGATATTTCCATGAATGCTTGTTCCTACTTGAGGATGGTAATTTCATGGAAGTATGTGCAGTTTCCAAAGATAATAGTTGGAAGTGTATTGCTGTCAACACAACAATAACAGTAAGTTTCTTATGATAACCTAACCAGACCGAAGAGTAAATTTTGTCGACTTCTAAGTATCGCCGAATGTGCTTTCAGAAGAACGAATAATTTAAAGTAGTAAACGCCGAGCACTTCGAGTAAAAAAATTTCTATGTTAGAGATTTTCTTTTGCATTCATATTTTCAGGGGCCCTATATAACAGTGCATAGAGCTTATTTTAGGTGAAAAATAATGAAAAAATGTTTTCTCTTAAAAGAACATTCGCTATTACAGACTTAAAAAAGGAAAAGTAAATAAATTGTATTTTATACTTTAAAGTAAAACATAAATGTAACCTTCTTAATAAATTAATACTACATAAAGATACAAAAATGATATTAATAAATGTAACTGAAAAGGTACAATGGTTTATATTTTATTTAATGTTTCATAATTAGTACTTTTAAAAGTACTATCGGTTTTATAACATACACTAATGATAGGTTAGAATGTATAAGAAGTAAAGTGAAAATTCATGTTAATTATAATATTTACTAAACTAAAAATCAGAACGTTCTCATGGTAAATTTTCTCAATCAAATCATAATTTTAAAAGTCCAATGCTCAATTGCATCTCAATAGAAAAAATATACAAAAATAAAACTTTCACCATCAAGACCGAATGTTCCTTGCAAAGAACTATTATTTTCAAATGAAAAAAAATCTTACAAAACTACTTCAAATTGGGAAAAATATTTTTTTTTGCTTGTTTAGCAGTATTTTAACTTAAATTATACTGATCAGTTTTGCAATTAAACTACGTTAACGCGAAGAAAAAAAATTAATCGCACATCACGTCTTCTCGGACGAACCACCTTGTCAAAGGAAAATGATAAATTGACAGTGACGTTTTGTTTTTTTTATATTAATAAGTTTGGATACCTGATTTTGAATACTTTAAGCCATAGACTATCACTCTTTTTTTTTCGAATGGCGCGAATTTTTGAACTTAAATTTATCGCTAAAGTTTTAGTTCCTCTGGAGGCACATCCGGCGATACTTCGAAATCACCTCCGAAAATGTCTCGGCGTTACTGACTACAAAGTTTTAGTTCCTTCTGATGCACATCCGGGCTTACGAGGATAAAGTTGCATTTGTGTGTGAAGCAACTTTGTGTTCACTAAGACACAATGTTAAGCATAAATTGTTTCACTGTTTATTACTGGCATTATTATTTATGATGATTTATGTAGTTGTGTTATTCATCTTAATATTTTAGAGTTTACATTGAAATATTTTATTATTTAAATAAAGATAATTTTAGCAAATTTCTTATGATGTTGTGATTATGGGAATGGTTTGAAAATAATAATAATAATAGGTATATGATGTACTATGTGATGATCATGCACCAGTGGACATTGTCATGAAAGTGGGTGGAAATTGCCATTCTGTGTGAGATGGATGTCCTGATAGCTGTGTGAGGAGGACATGTGGCGTTGTCATGAAACTGTGTGGACATTGTCATTTTATGTGGGATGTCTGTGTGACATCAGGAATTGTGAAGATGTTGTGTCTTGTGGTGTGGGAGACATCATGAACTATGATGGCTATTTGGCTTGTGTAGCGACATCATCGGGCTGTGTGGCGAGGCGCAAACTGTGTGGAATGGCCTAGTCTGTGTAATCTGTGTGGTTTAAAGAGAAAATGTTAAAAGAACTACACTCGACAGCAAATAAATCGCACCACCCGCGACAAGCACTTTCAAACGTATGCATCCCCACTTCACACCAATATTGGTACCATTCTGAAGCCTAGTTCTAAACTTCATTTCATTATAGGAAAGGTTTTTACCCCAAAAATGTTTCTTTAGAAGGATCCAGAGTCACTTCTTCAAAAAATAGATAGTTATGCTTGAGCCAACTTTTATGGCTATAAAACTGTTAAGTTGGGATTAATCGCTATCCATCTGTTAAAGAGGATACGTGTGATCATTATTTGGTTTTATAACCATAAAAATTGGTCTAATTGATCCCAGAGGTGTGCCCAAAGTGAGGTCTTTTTTCAAGTCACATTTATGGTATATGTTAATAATTTATTAAGAAATTAAATGTGTTTTTCTTTAATGATATTTATTGGGCTTTCAAATAACACCACTATTGTTGGGGCACCATTATTGTGTCAAAAGAAAATCTTTAAAGTTCGCGTCGCGGGTGGTGCGATATTTGCTGTCGAGTGTATAACCAATCCCATAAATCATTTAAGTCTATTAGTATTTATTTTATTTGTATTGCCTTGTATAACTTCACTATAATTATGTATGTTTCTATCATATTCGTTTTTATCATCTAATGTAGACTAAATTAATTCTGAATAATACTGAAGAGAAGAGGCAGTATGATGACTGAGCAAATGGAGAACCTACTGAGAAGAAGATAGGCTCAGCACTGTAATGATGACTTAGTGGAAAGCTTCAACGACATCGAGCAAGCAAAGAAGGTGATCGTTGAGTTGACGAAGTCCACAAGAAGGCAGACTTCCAGCTCTGGGACTAGAACAACAACGACGACAGGCTGTTAGCAGTCGCCCCGAGCGACAGGCGCGCAAAGAAAAGGAGCAACACCCCTGGGAGTTCCTGCAAAAGCTGTGGCGCCTCGAGAGCGGATGGGACGAGCCCGTGCCGGAAGAAGACGCAGTACTTCGGGAAATGGCTGTCTGACCTGCAGATCATCGAGAGACTGCGTATTCCTCGGAGCTACAACGGGGAGAAAGCAGTAAAACTCCGAGAGCTGCACATCTCCTGCGATGCGAACGAGGAAGCCTACGCCGCCGTTGCGTATTGGCGCCTCACTTACAACGACGACGTGCGAAAGTAGCTTCAGTGAAGTCACAAACGATACCGAGGTCGGAGCTACAGCAGCTTTGATTGGGTCTAGACTCGCGAAGACCATAAAGGAAGAGCATCGGCTGCCTGTGGACGACTTTACCTACTGGAGTGACTCGCTGGCTGCGAAACGGGAGCCGCTGCTATTCACCCTACGTAGCGCATCGACTGGCAGAAATCAGTAGCGTTGATTATCCACTCACTTGAACGTAGCTGACGTGGCGCCGAGAGCGGGATACGTGCCTACATCGGAGGAGGATGAGTGGTTCAGAGGACCGAAATCTGGATAGCCACGGCAAGATGGCAAGGACGATGACGTGATAGTCGAGCAACTGCATCTCGTCACAGAGAAGATCGAAGATAAACGGAATGGTAACATCGGACCTCTCTCTTCGAACATTCCAGAACATGAGAGACAGAGATGACATTATCGCGAGAGAAAGGAAAGGACATATTATATACGGAGCGGGGCACTCCAGCTGACTAGTTTAATTCAGATAACAAGCGAGTTAAGAAATCAAAGTGTTCGCAACACAAGTGAAGAATCAGAAATAAAGCTGTCTACACCAAGTACTCTGCTGCCTTCAAGATTTATACCGGTTCCTGGCTCTTACGAACATACAGTCTACTGCTCACCAACAGAAAGGCTTCTCTCCATTCTTGGAATATGAATGGGTTAAAGAACAGATTATGATGCGGAGTTAATTGAAACCAATAAGTTGTATTTCTGAACAAACCTGATGGAACAATTTTGGGGTGACTCTGTAAGTGTAGAGTATTGTGTGAATTCCATTAGTTGGATTGAGTATTGTGTGACGTGGTCACTCCTGTGTGTGGAATGTGGATTAATGGTAGCATGAATAAGTTAAGGCTTCAATTCGTAGAGTTTGTAGCCAAATTGAGGTTGGGACCTTTGATAAAGGCCTAATTGGTCATCAAAGGATGAGTTTCTTCAGTGGTAACATTTTGATTCAGGGGCCTATGAGCTACGGTGCCTAGGTTAGGTAGGATAGTGTGTTTATAATATTGATTGAGATTATAAGATAAGATAATTCATTTATTTGCATTATTGAAGCAATTTTGAATTCTAAAATATTGAACAAAGAGATAATTGCTATGGCGTGGCAACAAGACTAGTGGTGCTACAGATTGAGTAGCATGCTGAGCTTCTAAATGATATAGATGTACTGTGGTGGTCAGCGTGTGGTGCGAATGGTGGTGCAGATTGTAGAGTGGATCTAGCCAGGCGCACAGCTGGATCCAATGCGAAGCGTCAAGTGTGCCATGAGTAGACCTTCGAGGGATGGCAGGATGGCCGATCTATTAATTGTGAAAAATCTAAAACGTAAAAATTGCGGTATCGTTATAGCCAATGAGCTGCTGTCATAGTGACATTGACGTAATGTCAATGTCACACGAAAATCAAACGTCAGAAAAGAGGGACGCGCGGAGACGACTCCGCGCGCTTTTGTGCTAAGTGATGAATTGTATCTAAAACTAGCGGCCGCCCGCGACTTCGTACGCGTGGACCCCGTTTTACCCTTAGGGGTGAAGTTTCGAGTTTTTTAGGGTTTACCCGGAAATTATTCAAACTTTTCTCGCTGTAAAAACCATCCTTGGACTTCAACAAACATTTAAAAAAAAGAATTGGTAAAATTGGTCCAGGCGTTGTTGAGTTATGCGCTTACCAACACATGTTTTTACTTTTTTTTTAATTAGTTTCTTCGGAACAGGCTAAGGTCAAAGAATACGCTGCCTAGTTAGTGGTATACTTTTTTACCAATTGTCAAATTAAAAAGAAAGTTAAATGTCAATACGCAATGAAAATGGTGTGATTCGATTCGATTTTGATTGAGTCTTAAATGCATGTTGGCTAAGCCTTTGTATGGGAAATTTCAATCCTGTCTTTCGATTATTATCGATAGGTAGGGCTTTGCGTTTCGATTTTTAGTCGATTGGCTAAGCCTTTTTTGCTATCGACCACTTGCGATTTGTTTATTTGTTTGCGACTGGTTTGCGATTTTAAAGTGCATTTTGACTAGACCCACAGGAGATCAGTGATCAATGTAAACCCTTTTAAATATAGCTTGCTCTACCATTTCGGGACATACCTTGATTGCGCTTGATTAATTTAAGGTTGCTGTACTCCACGCCAATGAAATGAAATGGTGTCTCTAGTAAAAAAAACTTATTTCCAGGTTTTCTCCCTACCTTCGGGCCATCTCTCCTGCACATGTACGGAACCTCAAGCGGCGGCACCATGGGGACCACCGGCGAGGACGGGCCCTTCCACAGAGGGGCACTACTGGTATCCCTGAAGACCATCGTGCCGTACTACCAGCAAGGAGTCCGGAGTACTAGTGTGGAACCAGTCACTCCTGTAAAGTCTGTAAGTGATCAAACAGTTCACTAATAAGTAAAAAAAAACTTCCAAAATTAAAATTAAGTTTGTTGTTTCTTCTTCCTCTCCCATGGCGATGTGTAAAATGATAAGTAAAAGATGTGTAAAAAAAATTAATGTAATACGAGCCATATTTCCAAAACATTGTTCATCTCAAAGATCCAAAGCAATAAAATAAAAAGAGATCATATTATTTCCAAGTAGATAAGTAATATAAAATACGAATGCAAGACGCTCTTAAAGGAAATGTTTACTTAGTGCAGGTGTTCAGCAGGTTAAAGAAAAATAATTTTTTTACGTAAGAATCTCTTAATTTCTGAAAAGTATTGAAAACCTAGTAATTCTATTTTATGTTAAGAGAAGATTCCTGATGTGACGTCCTTTCAAAAATAAATCCAAATTCGAAACGAATATTCATCGTTATTTTTGTCATAATTTCTTTAAGAAAAATTATTAAGAGCGTTTACGCCGTTTGGCGCAAAAACAGTACTTTTTCAACTCGTTACAATCATTAACCAGTAATATTACAAATATGTTATAGGCATAAATAGTTAGGCAATTTCGTCGTCTAAATAGTTAATTGAGAAAATATTGCGATTAGTTTAGTATTTAAGAATTCTATCAAGATAAGTCCACACAGGTTTTGTAAATTTCCACTTTGGCGTCAGTTTACAAGCTGAAATGTGTATGAAAATACTGCAAAAACGATTTAACAAACATTTATATCCTATAGCATAGATCCTTGGGCAAATAGTTATCTGAGAAAATTTTTAGATTTANTTTATAGTTTCCTTGAGCTGTCACTTGACAGCCTGGCACACTTTTACGATGGTGGATCAAAGTATTTTGGTTTGACTATAGAGCGTGAGAACACGCACACAGTCACAATTATTTTAGTGTGAATAAAAATAGCATCGAAATTACCTAAACTTGACATGCCACGCTAGACGTAAACGCTCTTAAATGTATTTGTGACCAAGAAAGAGATATTAAAACTATGATTTGACCATAAGACCTTAATCTAATTGCCTAAGACGATGATGAACTTACAGGATCATCTGTGGGTCATGGAGGATTTCTGCGTATACTGCCCCATATTTGAGGTGTCCATGCTCGACCGGCGAGTCTCTGGGAAGTTCTGCGGAGTTGCTATTACTATAGGCGAAATAAATGCTGACAATGGCGGCGATGAAGGTAAGTCGTAATAATTTGACAAAAAAAATATAACGTAGACAAAATATTTAAAATAATATAATTGTTAATAATATTTCCTTACGGACAAGGCCCTGATGTAGTAGTACTTAGGTGGTTTGGTGTTCCGGATAAAAAAAAGAAATAAATAGTCTTCCAAATTATTTTAGTTTATTGTGTAATTTTCTTTCAGATTTTGCAACAATGCAGAGTGAAATAAGTGAGTATGAACTTTTTCGTTTTTATTTTTCTTATACCATTAATAATAAAAAAAGAGTTGAGACCTTTTCTAAAGAACACTGGCCGCTAAGAAAACTTTTTAATCAAATCGATCCTCCTTTGTTTTTTACTGCGATTTATTTCTCGCGCCATGTCGTCTTTACGTCAAAATCTAATAATTACTCGTACAGAATCGATGATTCTATTCTTCTTATTTATTGTAAAGAAAGTTTTTGTACAAAACACACCATGAACAACTTGGTAAAAATATAGTGTTGTTTCACTTGGTAACTAGAAAGTTTGTTCGACAAACTTACAGCATCAATAAATGAAAGTCAAGATTGTTGGTGAAAAAAAAAATCGTTGATTTAGTTCGATCATGTGAGTCATTTGTTTTGTATTTTTTCTATGGATTCTTTTAGAAGCCCGTAAACTCCACTACACTGGTACTATGGACGTGTTGAAGTCGAAGCCAGCGTACGGCTACTTGGACTTTCCTAATGGGTACCCAGTGCTGCAGCTGGCCACTCGCCTTCCAGACTTCAGGTTCAGAATGTACAGGAACAATATGGTGCACGGCATTGTTGCTGATTTGGTATGTAATCCTTGGTCCAGTTTCCACCAAAACGGAGAGGAACGTAGAATTTTATAGTCTTGTCAGTGAGATCTTCTCCTTCATTTAAATACTGAACTAAGCATTCATAAACTTCGTCGTTTGTTCGGATACAATAAACTTTCACAGTTTACTAAAGTAGCCTGTAGTTTTGTGAGGGTTATTTACGTCTGTGTAAACAATTTGTAATACGTGGGGTGGTGTATTTAAGTTGTAAGCCTAACTATGAAAACAATGTAGTATATTATTAAAATGGTATTTATTGCGTTTATTGGTATTGTCTTTCATGATTTATGCACTTTGGAATGTGTCCGAAACATTTTTCATAGCATTTTTTTCGTTAGTCGTATACCTCGAAATCAAAAAATCCTTGTAGCTTTTCACCTATTCGCATTTCACCGTGATAGCGTTTTTTGTTGTAGCGTGTAATATCGGTAGTATATTTTGTTACTAGCAAATATTATTAACGGATTTTTACAACAGTAGCAAATCTTGATGTAGCATGTATTATCAATAGCCTATTTACAGTGAAGACAGGCAGGAAAGTAAATCTACTATGAATTTTTTAGACAATTGTAAATTGTAATAATTACTTAGCGATCAAAAATTATACTACAAGAATAAAAATCTATTCAGAAATTTTGATATCGCGGCGAAATGCGAATAGGTGAAAAGCTACAAGGATTTTTTGATTTCGAGGTATACAACTAACAAACGATTTTTTGTCTCAGCTCGAGGCACCTCGAAATCATGGTTTTTGACCGCACTGTTCACCTAAATCGCTGTCCACGCATTTAATTTTAGTATATGGGTGAAAAAAGAAGTGTTAAGATTCCAAACAAGAATTTTGTAGTATTGGACCTGTTTATTTCATATTTTGAGTGTTCAAATAGTCAGTTGTTTGACGAGACGTGTAAAAGCTGAGCAGAATGACGATTCCACTATGCTGGTCAGTTTCCCTTATTAAACTGAAGACTTTTAAAAAAATAGTGGGTGTTTACTATTTAGAATTAACCATTCTAAATTTCTCTAGTGACGTTTCTGCCACATAATAGGATATTCCGGCAAAATAGGCGACCGTAAGTTTAAAGTGTTCCGAGCGCATGGGACATTTGTTGGAATTGGTTTATTTTAATTGGTTCGAAAATAAACAGCTATCAACTATGGAGGTGTAGTTGATAGCTGTTTATTTTCAGGATCATAATATGCATAGATCCTTAGTTCGTCAACTGTCACAATTTTAAAAATGGCTTCTAAAGATTTTCAAACGTATTTATCAAACATTTCCAAGAACTAAACGACACAAGCGTCCTAATGAGTGTTGGAAAAATTTTGCGACTTCCAACGAGAAAAAAACTTACTAACGATAATATAAATGGTAATGCAATATTTTATTACTGCTAGTGGAATTAATGCCACGATATGTCACATGACGCGGTTTCTCTTCCATTTTTCTGACACAATTTGTCATTTAATCATTTTGGACGACTTTCACAAAATTCGCTGGTGAGCTAATGACATACAATATTATACTTCTTAAACTAGCGTTTTACAATAGTAAAGGATACATCTTTATCAACAAAAGTGAAATTTCGCTGACCGATTCAGTATTGTATTGATTATATCCACGTCGAAAGTCACGATAATCTTCGCGCGAAAATGTTCCGTTTGTTAGTCGTATTATCGTATACCTCGAAATCAAAAAATTCTTGTAGCTTTTCACCTATTCGCATTTCACCGTGATAGCGTTTTTTGTTGTAGCGTGTAATATCGGTAGTATATTTTGTTACTAGCATATATTTATAACAGATTTTTACAACAGTAGCAAATTTCGATGTAGCAATACTTGTCTTAATGCATTTATTGCACCTCGTTCCAAGCCGCTTTTCATATCTTTCGGTTGGAATCCTGGTACATTTTCTTTCAAAGAAACAGTTGAACATGGTTGTATACGTACTTTGTAGCTTGATAACCAATAAAGCGTATACAAAAGGCGTAACTTTAGTGAGCTCCGCATCCGAACCTATATCTCCATGTATTGTATAAAGCTATGTGTAAGGTTTTGGTACGACTTCAAACGTTCCGTCTATAAAAAACGTCTCCACCCTTTCAATATACTCAAATATTCGGAAGACAATTCAATGGCACTATGTTCGTCATTTTAGTCTGACTGCTATTATAGCAGTAACCATCAAAAAAATTTCGTGCTTCTAGCATCAATGTCCATGTTTTATTAAATCGGGACCACATGAGGCGGAAACGTTGCGCATCTACGGCGTCTCCGCCGCGTCACCGCTCCGCGTTGAAAACTTTCAGCTCACATTTTTTTAATACATTATATGGAGTCAAACTGACGATCATTTGGGTTATCAGAATGACCACCATGGCTTCTGACTACCGAAAAATCTAAATGAGCCTGGCTTATTTTGTGTAATGGTAAATAAGTTATCTTTGTATTTGACGCTGACACAAACATTTTAAATAGCCGTTTTGTAAATTCGATCCATACGAGAAATCCGAGGAAACCAGTGTATCAAATCGATTTCAAAAGATTAACTCTATTGACATTATTTTTGCGATTTGGAAATTCAATAGAATTCCTTCCTTCTCGTAGCCTTCTCATAGTTTTTTTTTTTTAATTTAAAGCTTGCCTATACTCACTACCCCAAGTCTTAGAGTCAAGAATGACCAAGAAATCGTTAATAAATTTTATAAAATCAGCTGTTGTATCAACATTTTTGAACACGGCAAGTTTCATAACATTATCTACCTACTACAAAATACTAATGCATTCGCTACACTAGTACTGAAGAGCTGAGCTGCAAGGCGAACGTTTATGATTTAGCCTTCAATTATTTGTTTTTATTTGATTAGCCATGTAAAAAGTTCCTGATCCTGTAAATTCATGTAATATCTGAATATATGACCAGATAATTTTTTCATCAGAGTTAGTTTTGACTAAAAAAAAGTTTAAATGCTCGAATGGATTTCGAACCAATTTTAGCATGTGGTAAGGGGTCTAAAAAATGTTTTAGCCAGTTTGCGGGTCTGTAATTTTTTTAGCCTGCCATAGCAAGATTCGCTTTGGTTCCGTAGCAGGTCAGTGCTTTGATTTCTACACCTGTTTCGTGAACTAAATTATGAAATGCTTGGGTCACAAGCCGCGCTTTTAGTTCACCATTTACGCCCTTTACTAGAAAGTATGCAATGGGAAGATTCAGGTGGTATTTATGCCTACTAATAAAAATACCAACACGTTAGTTACTTCATCTGAGATATCGGTTAAAAATCAAATACGAAATCGACGTAACCGTAATATTTTTGAGTGATTGCTAGGGGATTGCCTGTCTGTTCCACTCCTGTATTGGTTTAATTCTCTTTCTGGTAATATTTTTTGTAATTAAAAATGCAATGTTCATATCATAATATTGGGGACAAAATACTTTCTGAGAAATCAAGCTTGTATGAAAAGACCTCATTGTACGCCAACCTCCTTGACTGGCCACTAAGAAACTATTTTCTTTTTCTTCTTTCATTATTGATTCGCAATTGTTTTTTGGGTCATTTTTCGCGATAGGTACGATATTTATTAGCATGATGAATAATAATTTTATTGTTAATGTTTTGATTTCTTAAATAATAAATTCTTACGTTCGTATTACGGCGCAAGTGATATTGTGTCCTGCTCTAGAAATGACAGAATTGTGCAGTATTTCAACTTATTTTATGTAAGTAGCTCACGGGTGCCCCTTGGTAAGGTTTTTAGTACTCCTGTAGTATAACAAAGTCTCGATTAAGGTTAGTTTATAAATACACTTTTGTCTTGTGACTTTACTCGTGTAAGTTACGATAATTTATTTTGATACTTGTAATTTGGTGCGTTTAAACTTTGTGCGCATTACGATTATGCATTATAACGTTCCGCTTAATATCGCATTTGGGAAATTAAGTTCCAGCGAAAAAAGGTTAGGCGTATTAAAAAGGAAGCCAAAAAAATTTGGGCCTAATGTTCGTGTGCCATAATATTATGCCCGTTTTCACCATGAATCCCTAATTTTTAAGTGACCCCTATGGTAACATTTATCAGGCGTTTTGTTTTCATAGAGGTCACTTAAAAATTAGGGATTGATAGTGAAAACGGGCAATAGACATTTAGACGTACAAAAAATTTGGCGATTCGATAGAGACCCGTAACTCATGTAATGCCCATCAGAATATTATACGTACATTTTCATTGCAAAAAAGTATATTGTATGCAGGTGCGCAAAGTACTATGAGTTACATAAATCGTGTTTTAGGAATTATCCATATCAGATGTCGAACGTCGTCTCAAGAACTATGAGTACTCGACTCCAAATGACCTGGTGGATGAGCTGAACAAAGCTCTAGATGACGCTGCAGCGAATATTATCAAGTTCCTGGACATCGTCCAGTATTCCGGGCCTGCTAGCAGCACTGATGACGTCATGAGACAGTATAGCACTGAGCTGGATCAGAAGCAGCTCGCTTTGCAGAAAGAGGAGATGGTAAGCATTCACGAAATGTTATTAATTGTCTGCCTATACTTTTCTCTTTATATAAAATTTGCTTTTTATACAGGAAAAAATATATCAGCAAATAACGAAGAAAATTAAAAGCGGGTCGACATTGAACTTAATACGTACAATACATAAAGGCGATAACGGGTGTGAAACGAAGAAAGGCGTCAAAATAATGTTGGCAGAAGTTAGGGCAATGACGACTAATCTAAGAAATCTTATTTACAAGGTACATGAGTATTTTACAGAAAATAGGTTTATTTTTGAAGCGATTTACCTTTTCTAAATAGTAGTTTTTATTCAGACTTCTGAAGGCTGGCCAGATTTAGTCGTGTGGCTTTTGAATGGTGGATCCAGGGTAGCGTACACCAAGATACCTACTGCGGAGATTATACACTCGGTGATCCCCGAACAAAGCGGTAGGGATTGCGGGAGGGTTCAGACTGTGTATGTGAAGGTATGTAAACCATAATACGTAACTTTTGTGTAGACAAAGTCTACAGCTTGGCAGTACGATATTTTTTCTTCACTGATTGTAGTTTACGCAAACAAATTCGGAACTTATCCGTAAAAGTACAGTCGGTGGCAATTATATTTATACATTTATTTTATTTACATTGATTTGATAATGGTGAGGGGTAAAAACTTGAGTAATCTAAAACCGGGTACTCATTAGCGAGCTGTACCTAACCCTAACCGTTGCATGCACTGTAACCAAAAAACATAGTGTGTACATGGTTCGTAGGTTAGCGACAGAGTGAGTTTGGCTACACTGCATACGACAGTTACGGTTACAGCTCGCTAATGAGTACCCGGCTTAAGATAGTGTCGTTGAGTTTCAAATAAAAATCCTTTTTTTTCTTTATTTGGGGCAGCAAACAATTACATTGTGGGCTTGTGTGCTATATCTTATAGCTAAGCCTTTTTCTTTTCTAGCCACTAAAATGTCCTAAGCACGTGAACACTCTAGCAACCGGTTGCTATTGTATAGCTGGTAAGATCGAGCTGCTTCTGTGGATGGGGCTGTACCGACAGAACTCAGGGTTCGAGAACAGCCTTCCAGGCGGACTCAAGTTGCGTGTCAAGGATTATGAGATGGTCGTCAAGAGTACTGTCATGGTAAGATAGATTCCTGGATTGTTAAAAAGATTAAGGTATGTATTTACTTTGATGAGCTTCGGTCGGAAGTAGTAAGAACGATTTATACATTTTGTATTGATGCGATCTGACTGCGCGCTTGAGCTAAGAATGCGAACTGCACTGACAAATTGTCTTGTCACGACGACCGCTGACAGATTGCCCGGACCGAAGACCGTTGCCTCTGGCCGATAAGTTCATACCTGATGCTGGCTGCTTGCACTTTGACCTGATCAAATGAAAATAAACTTTTATTTTATCCACGTGACGAGGTATAAGCATGCTGTGTATTATAATATTTTGTTATGCTTGTTCGTCCAGATGCTGGAGTGTCGGGTATTCATATACCGGGCTAAAATCAACAACATCATAGACAACTCGAACGTCTCTTATGTGTTTGTCAGAGCGAATGCGATGAATTCTGTGAAGGAGACAAAAGTTTGTATAATCTAAGTTCTGCCATTTATTAATTTATAAAACGTGTCCCAAAATTCAACGATAAGTCGGCGCCGTAGGGTGGACATGGTCGTGATTACTCTAGAAAAAAAATCTATCGTAATTATTTTTAAGTTACACAATATAATATATAGGGATGGCCATTAGATGGGGCCAAGTCTCCTGATCCAACAATGGATACTCATGATTTAAGTATTCTCGTACAAGACGAGCGTAGTGAGCTGGGCAACCATCATTTTGAAACCACTCATGCTTTGTAAATCAGAAGAGGACGTCTTCTAATAATACTTGCAAATAGTTTTGTAAAAAGTTTAAGTAACTTTCCCCATCTAAGTTCCCTTGCAACTCAAAGAGCACAATCGCTTTTCCATTTAATATGCCCGTCCATAGGTTAACCTTGAATTGGTATTGGGATTTGTCTTGTCTCATCAGGTGCGGTCTCATTATTTTGATTGCTCCAGCTATGCAAGTGTATTTCGTTCGACATAACTTTGTCTATGAATTGGGGATCTTCCCGGTGTTTGTGTAGCATCACACGGCAAAATGCGATCCGAGGTAGTAGAATCGAATGTTTATTTCATTGAGAACTTCTTCGTCGTATTCCGATCTAGGTCTTCCAGCGTTTCTTCTGGCAGATGGAAAACGACCCTTTGAAAACGCTTCATGCACATTCAGAAATACTCGATAATCCGAAATCTTTGAGCGTTTGGGTACCTTTCTCGATACAATCGGCTAGCAGCGTTAGCATTGCACTGACATTTGTCATAAACCAAACGCATAGCTGCGTATTCCAACGGTGTGTATGGTAACGATATAATAAACGCTAAATCGTTGCCAAAAGTCCAATTCACAAAACATAATACGGTCCAAAGTAATGCCAGGTCAGTTAAGTGTGCAGATCGAGCTAATAAGCGAAGTCAAAAGTCGTTAGTACAGTCTATTTAATTCGTGACTATCAATCTCTACGTGTATCTCTCGATAACTCTCTTTCTCTCTTATTTTTTAATTTTATCAACTACTTACATGTCCCATTAAAATTTAAAGAAATTTCAACGAGAATAATTATGTAATGAAGTCTTTTATAATGATACACATATCTTTTTGTGACTAGTTTTCTTAAGAGTATTATACCATTTTGGAATCTTGGTTAGTTGCGTCATCTTTATAAGAAACTTGCCGCAGTAGTGCTCATACTTTCTTTTTACAAAACGATGAGTCAAAGTGTAGTGAAAGTAATAATCTTTTAAAAAAATTAAGGAAATAACTTAAATTTTGATTTACTTTTGTGTAAAAACTGCAAGCATTCTGGGGGATTTAAGAGTTGTGGTGGACAGCAGTTCTACTTAGGTTGCCGATACAAATAAAAAAAGAGATATAATATACCTATTTGAAAAGTTGTGGTCATGGTAACTAAGAATGTCATAAGGGGTGCCAATTTTCAAAGTATTTTATAATTTATTGTGTAACTTCAAAAATATATAACATTTTTATCCACAGCAGTCATGATGACCATATCCACCTGTATACTGTGTGTTTTCTGTAAGGTGTCAAGCGGAAGGCAGGTGATAGAATGAGGACCAGATCTTTCGATTTTACGCCTATTTTTCTATGATTTTTCGTAGTTATCGTTAATTTCTTTGTCCAAATCTCCTTGCATTGTAATGTGGTTTTGTGCTACAGTCAACTTTGTCCGCAATTTGTCAATATTGTCATAATCCCTGTTGTATACCAAATCTTTGTAGAAACCCCATATGAAAAAGTCGATCGGGTTAAGGTCGGGTTATCCTGGCGGCCATAGGTAGGTATAAGGCCGCCGCGACCCTTTAATTTCGAAGGGTGTCGTAATGTATGTTTATCCCGTCGTCTAGTACCCATAGCACAAGCTTTGCTTAGTTTGGGACTAGAGGCGCAGTGTAAAATGTCCAAGGATATTTATTTATTTATTATTATTTATTTATTTATGTTAAAAAAGTGGGCAGACTCTTGTGTAAAATGGGAAGTTTCGCGGATTCGAAATAATAATATTTCGGTACGCCATTGTAATTTGTAATGAACAAAACAAAAACAAAATTAAATAAACAAAGTCACAGAAAATCAACAAGAAAAAAGAGGTTCGTCTACATCTTCGCGCATGAGACAAAAAAAAATACAAACATCATTTATGTTGTTGTTGTTAAAAAAATATATTCACGCCGAACTGCTCTGGCGAAATGACAAGGGGCTCCGTCCATTTGGTACTATTTCTGATCTTAACCTGAGATCTACGTCTCCTAAAAGAGTAGGTAAATCGTCTCGGACGAAATTCAATTATTTTTATTACAAGCTTTATACTGACTTCACTTGTTAGTATGTGTGGGGCAAATCTTGCAACTGAATTTAAGACCAGTTCTCCTCAACCGATTGAGCTGAAATTTGGTATACTTATGTAAGTACGATGACAATGCAATATTATGGTACCATTGAGCTGGTCTGATGATGGAGTCGGGAGGTGGCCATAGGAACTCCTAAACAAAACGGCGGAAACTCATCGAGTTTGGGTTCGTTTTGTCTTTTCGAGCACTTTAGTGTTAGATAATGTCCAGGGTCCTGAGATTAAGATATAACTAAAAAGTGTAAAATAAAATTATAATAGAAATAAACTTTTCTAAAAACAAGCTTTTATTCTGAATTTCGAAAGCTTGTAGCGCAAACAGAGAAAAAGAGGAATAAATTCCATGCGCGATACAAACTTTCGAAATTCAGAATAAAAGCTTGTTTTTAGAAAAGTTTATTTTTTCCTGTTTAAAGTATCTGACAACACAAAAGACCCAATGAATTTTCTATCTAATATTCCTGACCAAAGATTTACAGAAAATTGGTGTTAAAAATTGTGCCAGCGAATAAAGTGAGGGTTTTCTCTGGCATAAGATTGCAAATTGTGCATATTAAAAATGGGATTTCTTGTAAATTTGGATTCATTCGCCCACAGTATTTTGTCGAAAAAGTTCGGATCTTCATCGTCCCGCTGTGTCATTTCACGACAAAAAATTGAGATTTTTGGTAGTCTGCCGAAGGTAAATCTTGCACTTTTCTGAAATAATAGGTACTACGGGTGGTATTTCTCGGTGCGTGAAATTTTGTGGACTCTTAAGTCACAACTTTAGCGTGAAGTAAAATTCAAAGTCCATTAACGTGCATAATCGTCGTTCCAAGATTAACGTTATCCAAATCGGTAATCACACAATCAAGGTAAAGTCCTTTAAACAAGCCAAATTCAAAATTAACAAAAAGTGTAAAGTGTCATATTAACTCTTTCTTCTTCTTTTGTTTTGTGGTAATCAAACCTCTTTATTTATGTTTATTTGTGCCAAGAGGCCACTTGTCTAAAGCGAGTTGTTCATAGACAGACATGTTGTGTTTGATCCAAGTCTGCCTGGCTAGCTACCACCATCGTTCTTTAACGCTTCGCTAACGTTACTGTTATAGTGAGAAATCTCTCACCATAACAATAATGTTAACAGCATTCTTGTGTTTCGGCAGTTGGATGTAGGATAGCCAATTCCTCTGTAGTTGAGGATTCCGGGTGAAGCTCGCTGATCATCATGAAGGGCAAGAGCTTTCTCGTTGTGGATAAAAAAAGGTTCTGTTCAGTTATTGTCTCTAAATGTGTTGTACGTTACGTAAACTTATAGGATTGTACACATTAGTTATAGATCTAAGAAAGTCAAAAACATGTAAGGGAATCTCGGACTTGCCACTTTAGTTGAGCGATTACAGGAAATAGTGGCCTATTTTTGTTTCTAAGAAAAATGTTGTATCTTGCATAAAAGATAGAAAGGCGAATAGTTTTTTCACACATCTGCATTAAATAGCAATTCTGTTAAAAATCGAAGAATTTTGAGAAAAGTCCACCAAAAAAAAGATAAAAAATTTAATCCTTTGCCTTTGCTTCTCAACTACAAAAAATCGTAGAACATAATTATATCATGGGATTGGAATCGTTATGTACCTATGGTCCTCACGTTTTACCTGGCTTCGGCTTGACACCCTGTATAATAAATAAATCTTTTTTGCTTTTGATTCCTGCCGCTTTAATTTTTAGGTAAAGCAAAAAACATCTACTCCGGTTTGGAACCAGGTCATCAGAATTCAAAGAATGATTTTCACTACGACGGAAAAGCTGGTAGCCAGTCCCCCTGTAGCGCTTATTGAAGTTTACGAGAATGAACTATCGGTAGGTATAGAAAATTCAATATAGTAATCATAGTCAAATTAATTCACGACAGAGAATCTGCTGAACGTAAAATATACCTAAATGTCAATATCCCTAGAAATATGTAGATGGTAAATAATGTCAAGAAGAAAACTGATATTTTGTATCTTTTTTACCATACAACAGTGTAACTTGGAATCATAGGTAATGCATAAATTGTACTGATATAAAGCAGTAAGGAAATAAGAAACAATTTTAATTCTAGGGCAAGAATGACCTAATTGGTCGATTCCAAATTCAGCCTATTCTAGACGATAGACAAAGCTTTGAACATGCTCCAAAACTGCAGTGGTACGAGCTTTACAAGGGCGTAGAACTTACTGGACAGATCCTTATGTCAGTGCAGTTATTGCAGGTAAGAGAGTATGGACACTATGAACTGATATTTCCTTGGCTGAAAAAAAGTTAATTAACTATGTCCCTCATGTATTGAACGAATACGTTGCTTACACATTTTTATGTATGTGGTCGTCCCAAAGAGAACATTTTGTTTTAAATTATTCCCTCACAATTTTTCAATTGAAAAACGAATATAAAAATAAATTGTGAACAACCAAAAAATTTGTCTCCTGCCTTTGGGGAGACACCCGATATTGATCCGGATCCTCCTTGAGGTAAAACGGCGAAGTGCATTATGGGTTCTCATCTCGCGATTTTTTTTAATTATAGACAAGACACTGGTGGTACTCACACCTGGTGAGTTGTAAATGTTGTAATGCTGTTTTTTAATAAAAAAAAGTTCAAAGCAAAGTCCTCTTTTCTTTGAACTTTGGTAAAAATATCAACTAAAAGCCTTCAAGGTAAGATTTGGTTTGTAAGTTTATTTACCGGATCATACAATCAAAATGTTTTTTTCGTTTCTTCGCTTACGAATTCATAGGGTTCTTTAACTGCTGAGTAGCCTAGCTCCACCTGGTGACTATTGCTGTGAACGTTCTCTAATGGATTTACCCTTCTCCTGCTCGGGGAACTAAAAGGTTTCCGTATGTGCGAGTTTTTGAAATGCATCAGAGAGGGCGCTGTTAACATTATCCGACAAATGCTGGATTTTAATATTTTTAAAATTAATATTATGGTATGATCAAATCATCCAATGATTTTATACAGGGTGTTAGGTAAATGGGTATATGAGCCGACACTAGCCCATGTTAACATGGTCATATAAATGGTATGGTGAAGTCAGGAAATTGTTATCTTCATTTTAATTATTTGAATATTCATACAAATCGGATTTTATAAAATTTATTTTGTATGAAAATTTAAAAAATTTAAATAATGATATCAAATTTCTGACTTCACCATACCATTTATATGCCCATGTTAACATGGGCTAGTGTAGACTCATATACCCATTTACCTAACACCCTGTATTGGAAATGTCAAAGGATCAAATTTCGGATTACTAATGTTTGGCCAAAAAACGTTTCCCAAATTATCACATCGCAAACAACGTTTCGCAAATTTTCATTTGGCAAATTCTCATTTGGCAAAGCAACTTATTGCAAACTTTTAATTCGCAAATGTTTTTTTTGGCATATTATTGTTTAGCAAATTATTGTTTGGCAAAGTATGGTTTGCCAAATGTTTCATTAGGCAAAAATATTTCACGATAAACTATTTACAAAATGATTTGATTGGTGCATAGAATGGTATACAAATTAGCTTGTGGTTATTATTTTGTTTAGTGGGTAGTTAATATAAAATTTGTTCTACATTAATTTCCTTATTTCATTCTTTGTATCGAAATTTCCAAATGATTCATTAACAATAGAGGTGATTCTAGCGCTCGGCGGCCGCTGCCGCGGCACGCTTCGCTCGCCTTCGCGCATTAAGGGTCACTGTTCTAACCTAACCTAACCTACTATTTTCTGCAATACCTACTTTTTGCAACCATACTATTTTCTGCAATGTTTTACATAAAATTATTGTGAAAACCATGATCATGTGCCTTATGCTTTGATTTGTGGGTAACGGTGGGTAAGTATGTGAAGTGTCAATTTGACCAAACAAATTATTTGGGATATAATATTTGGCAACATAAAACATTTGCTATATAAACATTTGCCAAGTAAAATTTAAAAAAAAAAAAAAAACATACGGGTCGAATTGAGAACCTCCTCCTTTTTTGAAGTCGGTTGATTATTGTGAAAACCATGATCATGTGCCTTATGCTTTGATTTGTGGGTAACGGTGGGTAAGTATGTGAAGTGTCAATTTGACCAAATAAATTATTTGGGATATAATATTTGGCAACATAAAACATTTGCTATATAAACATTTGCCAAGTAAAATTTGGCCAAATGATAATTTGACCAAATGAATTAGTTGCGAAAAGTACAGTTGCTAAAAGTTCATTTGGGAAATGAAATTTTGGCGATAAGTTGTTTGCGAAGTGAAATTTGGCGAAAAGTAATTTGGCCAAACGGAAGGATACCTCAAATTTCACAAGGTTACTTTACACGTTGGAACACCTCGCTTTCGTAAGATTTGTTAAAATATAAAATATCCTTATATTTTCAGTTTTTTTCACTAGTTACTTTTCTGGGTGACCGTGCTGGTTATATTTATTATGATCATGCAATATGTTATTACTGCCAGTGGAATAATGGCTAGGTTTGTTACAATTCTACGATGTGTTACATGATAATGTTCCTCTCCCATTTTTATGACATAACTCATTTTGGACGACCTTCACAAAATAGCTGGTTCTACCTGCCTCACGGCGTACTAACCGAATTATCCACTTTCTGGGCCCTCTGGCCTGACACCGCAAAATTGCACCAACTGTATTTCACGTCGGGCTGCTCTCGTTGACAACCTGCTTCTTCAGAGCCAGTTTACAGCACGTATGTTGTCAAGGCTTGCTGTATAAATAGTGATCTTTACAGCAATATTATTGTGTGGTTATAATAATTGTCACATTTTAGACGTTTGGTTGTTATTAGTACGTTATTTGTTATTGTTTATCTTTTTTTTGGATTTTTGTGGAGTGCTTTCAATAATGATGCTCTTTGCTATCCATTTTTCTGTCTAGTGTAGAATTAATGATTTCGAGCAATAAACAATTAATATAAAACTCTTTTTTCCATAATTTTTTCTTCCAAAATTTCATCATCTATCAAAATCTTCCCAACTTTAATGTCTTTATTACTCCAAACTGCAAAAAAGAAAACGATTTTATTAGCTACGTGAAACTGACCCTGAGCTTGGTAAAACAGTCATGTGATTTTGGTTACCCAAGTTTAATAATATTACATGAACATAATATTTTCTTTTTTTATACCATCTGCTACCGTCATGTCTTTTACTGAGCAATGGAAATTTCACTTCGATAATTGCATCTTTGTATAATTCGTCTAAAAAAGGTAAATCTGTATCGATAAAAAGGCCGCTGGTTTATTTTTTCATGCTGAATATCTGTAGATTGGCCTGTTGGTAATTGAAAATTTTTGAATTAGGCCAAAACAGTGTACATTGCTCAAGACAGTATAGAGACAGCACAAGAGTAAACCTCAAAACCAAAAACAATATCAATAAGAAAATAAAAATCCAGAAGGAATTATCAAAAAGACTGCAAAACTGCCAGCAACAGCTTTAATGCGACTTAGATCGCTTCTAAGGTCTAAAAAAAATTTGGCAAGTGATCCACACCCTGTATTGTAGCTTCAACTAAAACTTTTTCCTGAATATCAGTTAATTTAAATGTAGTTTTAAAATGTGTTTTCGTAGCTCAGACTGCTGGAATTTAAAAAATAAAAAAGGTTTTCATTGCTTCTATAAACTCGGCGAAGGTCTGGCTTCAACTGGAATTTTACCTAAATCAATATAAGTGTGGAGTGCTGCTGACACAGTATGACTAAAAATTTGGACGGCATATTTTACTCTCATTTTTTTAAAGCTAGGTATTGGGCTCAATATGAGATTCCGTTATATTTGGTATTAACTTCAAATTCTTTTCTTTTTGATCTTCATAAAGAAGAACGGTCATCTGTGACCCAGACTCGACAGAAACGAGACATAGCTCAGTTTTTTTTGTTAGTTAAAAATGCTCTTCACTTCTTCATCGTTTGAAAATTTCATCCCTTGAAGCTCTTTTTTTCATTTTTGGAAATAAAATATAATCGCTGGGGCCAAATCTGGGCTATAGGGAGTTAATTTTTCGATTTTTTTTTCTGTCGTGGTTACTTTGACAGGCGGCCTCGACCTCGCATCGTCTTCAATCAAATCTCTGCCTTGCTTAAAAAGGTTATGCCACTTGTAAACCGTGGTTTTACCAGGGAAAGAGTCCCCGTAAACAGAAAACATCTCTTCCAAAATGGTCTGAGGAGGGTTTCCTTGCTTAGTTAAGAACTTAATGACCGCGCGAAGCTAAATTTTCTCCACGTCGCAATTTTCTTTTCTGATTGTCTTGTTTAGGAAACTGTACGTCAGTGAATGACCCGATTTGAATGACATTTCGCATTTATACTTTTGAAGAGTGTCACAACTAGAGATGTGCCGCTGAGAAAGTTCTCGTTCCTGGCAATATTCCCAGTGAGAATATTCTCGAGAACCGAGAACGCTCCCGAGAATATTCTCAGTGTTCTCGACAGAATACATTTAGTTTTAATTTTAATTTTGTTGTTTATATGTGATATTATTTGTAATGTTTCGATGTTTTATTAACTTAACGTTATAAACAAGGCATGAAACGTGTAAATGAGATATTGCAGTCTTGCTCACTCTTTTCGTGGCGACACGTGCCGCGGCTTTAGGACTCGGCTACGGTATTTGAAGTTGAACATCAGTGTGCCTCTGAGTTTTAAGGCCCTTGCCACCCTGGCGGATTGCAAGCGGATTCAAAGTGGATTTAAAGCGGAGCGGCGACGTGACGGTGAAGCCACGTGAAAATATCGTGAAGCTTCCCGAAGGCTGCCCAGCAGAGCTGAATTCGATGATTGACCTTTTTTTCGAAGTTGGACCTGCCTAACTGGACTGTTTGCCCCAGGTATACATTATATTCAACAACTTCGAATGTAGAGTCTCCAACTTTTAGAGGAGTGGGTGCAACATGGTCTTTAGACATGATTTTTAAATCTTGTCCATGTTCATTTTGAGACCCACTTGTTGAGAGACTATTGAGACCATCGAGCAGTGTGCCTAGATCTTCCACGATCTCAGCCATGACTACGATATTATCGTCTGCTGTCTTGGTTATGTACTCGCCGTTGATATTTATGCTAAATCCGCTCCAGCCCAGAAGCTTGAATACATCTTCCAGGGTGGTGGTGATGACGTCTTCCTGTCTCACCCCTCTCTGCAACTGGATAGGTTTCGGGTCCTGATCTTAAAACGGACTGTCACTGTGGCGTGTTTGTACAAGCCTTTCAACACTTTATTGTATCAATAGTCAATTTGGCATAGTTGAAGAGACTGAAGCATTGCCCATGTCTCAATCGAATCGAAGGCTTTCTCATAGTTCACAAACGCAAAGTGGCTGATTATACTCCTTGATCTT